GCCAATAAAAAAAGCAGTAAAATCAAGCGACTCTCGGAATTACGACGAACGAGAACCAGTGATTAATAAGTATGAAAAGTGGCAGCCAATGAAGTCGATGGATGAGATATGTGGAGCGTGTAGGTGCGGAAAATCTGGGGTGTTGAGGTCAGATGGAAAAGACGGCGGCAGGAAAAGCAAGTTCTTGATGCCAAGGTTGAACGACAACAATGATGCTGAAACGAAACGACACCCAGATGTGGAACGAAAGATGGTGGCGGAGAGAGTGGAGGTGGTGTGGTCTGTGTGTGGTGAGGTGTGGTCTGTGTGGTGTGGTGCGGTGGGGTCTGTATGGTGTGGTGTAGTGGGGTCTGTGTGGTGTGGTGTGGTGGGGGGGACTGTGTGGTGTGGTGTGGTGGGGTCTGTGTGGTGGAAGGGAAGCACGTTCCATGATTGATGGATTGTGTGGTTAGGTGCAAGCGGATCGTGATCCACATGGGATGTCACCTTGAGGTATCCCATTGGAGGAGAACCCATGGTTCCCCTCAAGAATTCAAATGGTAACTAGTAGGAACAACGACATTTGCGGAGTTCGTCAGAAAATCGTACACTGTCGGGAATCTGAATCGACGATTCAGGACGCAGAAAATTCGAGGGTCACCCCAAAGAAACCCCACTCTGCTTCGAGACGAGACTGGTCACTACCCCCTACTGTTTCGACAACGGTGGACGCCCATGGTGTGGGGAATGTACGGTTCCGATTCGCGAGCACTGGTTTGGTTTGGGAAGGAAAGAGAGGAGTCCGGGTGGTGGTGTGGTGTGGTGGAATCTCCCACGCCCGGGCTTGAACGTCATTGCACGAAAGTGTACAGTAGTTCGTGCGCTCGTGTTCTGGGGGGAACGTCTAGCAACTTATCAGAGAAGTGGGAGCGTGGATAATGCGGGGAGAGCATGCGCTGGTGGGTGGGGCGGAGTTTCAGATCAGACGAGTGCAGGGACGGAGCAGGTATGGTATTGTAGTGACCTGGCGACAGGCTGGGCTCACGACGGCAGGGTGGGTGCTTCGTTTACTTCAATATCCGATATTTATGATGACCCCATATGACCGCGCCTGATTGGAGACGCATTGCAAAACAAAGCACCGCGCATTTAATCGACCAATCATGCGCGGTCATCTAATGTCCCGCGCATTGACATTGAAGATCGCGCATTCATCAGTACACCCTGTTTCGCGCTAGCAGAGCATCTGGTTGCAGAACATGCACAGGTTGTAGAACGTCACCACGTTTGAAATGGTCTTATCACCGACGGTACAAGCACATTCACAAGAAAGCGGTTAGCTAGGATGCTGCATGGTAAAGAACATTAACCAAGCGTTTCAAAGCGGTTGAAAAGGGTATACAGCGATAAAGAAAAATTTTGCCCCCAGTACCACTCCGTCAGCTGGTGCGGCTTTGCCCGCAGGTTTCAGCCATACGGTTTATGGCACCTGACCGCACTGTAGCAGCGAATCGCGCAAGGTGAGAGGGTCGAGAAACAGGGTGTACAAAGGTTTAGGGAATACAAACCCTTGTAGGGTAGTGCGCCGTGTAAAACAAAAACCAGCGGGAATCCCCTGGCGTGGCCACTCGAGTAATTCGAGGCCACGCGAGTAAGGATGAATCACCGATCCAGGTTCTACAGTAATTCTCTCAGCTGTAACGGCAAGGCGGTCAGGTGCTAGCAGCCGTGAACCACAGTAGTTTGCTCTCGTTGACGGAAATTGCTGCTCGATTGATTACAGTATTTCCGCCAACAATGATAGTGCGTGAACCCATAATGTGCAGAGCGGTGCGGAACCAACCACACGGGAATTACAGAGGCAAATTGCACGTTGTAACGAACAAAAATATCAGCGCGATGATGCTAAAGAGCCGGACAAGTACAAAAGTCGTAGCCAAGATAAGACAACCACCATGGGGAGTTTGTGGTTCTACACTCATGACAGCTGTAAATCGGACAAGAAGAATAAGGATAGGAGCAGAATGGGATGTTCGATACACAGAGCTTCAAGTGGATCTGTTCATTGTTTTTTGGTCGTCCAATCTCAAATTCCCTATATGTAGACACTCGTAGGCTGAGCCATATTGTAAGGAATTTTCTCGGCATTCCTTACGGAGCCCGACTACATCGCGTACAGCAACAGCCGTTGTTCGCCCGTTACTGCTAACGGAACTTCGCCGACTTCGCGCGCACTGTTTCACCAAACCTCGCACTGCTGGCCCGGCCGTGTCGGCCTACGCTTCGGGACTAGCCCGAGCCTCGCTGACAGCATAGCACTGGCTAGCTCGCACGCACCGCGTTACTGTTTGCATGCTTCGCATATAAATGTTCGCTCATGCCTTCGCTCACATCTTGGTACTCGTTTGACACCTTAGTGCAATTCTCACTACTTAGATTCATTGCACCCGTAACACATATATAGGTACTCCCTACTACATTATCATGAAAAGTGTAGACCTATAAAATATTCAGCCAGTAATTATACAGCCACACCTGCATCAGTTACGATGTCTCATTATGAAATCCTTAATCGAGCTAATGGTTGCAGCGTCCGCAGGGATAATATGACCACAAGCATGGCGTAACACCGTCCGAGAACCAGCATCAAATAATGAAACAAATTCCTCACTCCGCTGCTGGGTTACTTGACGATCGTGACTTTCAAAGGTACTGGTAGGCACGTTGGTAACATCTGCATCCTTGTTGTAACATTTGCTCGCTCCAAAGACGTGTAACGACGGCAACTTTACCACCTCGCTGTTCTCCATCAACTCATGCATAAACGGATGGGCTTCTCTTGCTGCCAAATACCCAGAGCAAAGAATTGCAAACCGAATGCCTCCCCACACTTTCCGTTCCCCAACTGCTCCCTGACTCCCCGCACACTTGCCGTTCTCACTGCCCTCTGTTCTCTGCTCTGTCTTTTCTCCATCCACTGTCCCCTCCTTCCAACTGGACAATGCACCCGCTTCTACACTTTCCTTACAAGCCAAAATATGAGCCTCTTCCCTTTCTTTACTAGCCAAGGCAGCAACAGCAGCAGCCACGGCAGCACCTTGGGAGAATCCCAACACCCCGTCAAACGGACCCAGCTCAGATACCACCTCTCTCAGATAGGACAAACTCGCCGCCCAGCCGTACACCTGCCCGTCCAACTGGTCAGCAGGGAATTTGGCAGCTGGCAGCACATGTGGCCCTGCTGTGTGAGCTGGGATCGCATCAGCGACAGCTGGCAAAACTGTGACACCTGGCACCTCGCTGGTGCTGCCAGCTGGCAGTTGGCCAGCAAGGCTGCTGGTGGAAGGAGTGCAAAACAAGTGAGTCTGGTGCTGGGGCAGGGTGAGAGAACTTTTTGTGGTGGTGGGGTGAAGAGAAGGAGGTTGCTTTTGAGGCGCCTCAAAAGTCAAGTGAGTCTGGTGCTGGGACAGGGTGAGGGAACTTGTTGTGGTGGTGGGGTGAGGAGGAGGTGGTGAGAAGGGGAGCGTGGGGATGGAGATTGCTTGATAGGAGCGTTCTTGAAGGGAGGGTGCTTTTAAGGAGGGTGCTTGGAGGGCGAGGTCAATGGGTCCTGTAAGCCAGGCGAACTTGGTTCGAGGAGGTTGAGAAGCTAGAGGAGAAGTAGGTGAAGGGGCAGGTGAAGGAGCAGCTACAGTGCCACCTGACGAGGCACCTGAAGGATCACCTGAAGGAACATACAGAGGAGCACCTGAGGATGTCACAACATGTGCGAGGGCATGTGGGGCGTCAATAAAGACAAACTCTGCCACCGACTTGAGCTTTCGCTGCAGCGCCCTCGTGCGGCCAGAAAAGGACGACGCGTTTTGTCGGAATCCATGAAGACAAAGAATGCGAGCTTTTGATCTTGAACTCTCGCTGCTGTTGCTACTCCTGCTGCTGTTGCTGCTGTCGTTGATGCTGTTGCTGGCGGTTGTGGCAGTGTTGGCGGCCATGACAGTTGCTGTTGGTGGAACTGCTGTTGTAGTGGGGGCATCAGTGCCAGAAGTGGTGGCAGTGGTGGCAGCAGCAGCAGCAGTGGCAGCTGCTGAGGGAGTCACACTAGCAATGCCACCAGTACAGCCAGGCTGCTTCCAAAGCATAGACACGCCACAATATGCAGTGGAGGGTGCACACTGCACACACATTGAACCACAGCAGTGCATGCCATGCCAGTCGTATACACGCCAGGTCGAAATTCAAGAAGAGACACACGTCAATAATCAGTCGATACCGAGGCGAAGAAAAAAGGGCAGCAGAAATTACTAGGCAAGAGATGCCCGAGTCCGAGACAAACCTTATGCCAAAAGCGGAGAGATATTTTAGGCGGCTCAAGATTTTTGCTCTGAGAGATTGAGATATTGTTGTGGGACAAAAACAAGGACTTGAAGTATTCGAACAAACCCAGCAAGTGTGTTTCAAATAGCCCTTGAAATAGCCCTTGAAACGACTCAGAGACCACCTACCAGGGTTACAGGTGAAGGGGAAAGGTGCTGTCGTAACTGCTGCTGCTGCTGTTTCTGCTGCTGTGTCTGCTGCTTTTGATCCTCCTGCCCCTGCTCCTGCCCCTGCCCCAGCCCCTGCTCCTGCCCCTGCCCCAGCCCCTGCTCCTGCTGTTGCTCCTCCTGCTGCTCCTTCCCCTGCCCATGCTCCTGCCCCTGTGCTTGGTCCTTGCGTCTCTGGCGATATTGCTGCTGTGGTCTTTCTTTATCTCCTGCCTTCTCCCCTTCCACTGAGCAACCTCCTTTCTGGCAGATTTCACACAGGACATCGGTCTGAAAAGGAAAAAAAACGGAGGGGGGAAAGGGGCAGAGCGGGTAAGATTAAGGAGACACATTCTCACCTGTTTCTCAGCACACGTAGGGCACACGAGCAGCAGCATGCAGCATGCGGCAGGCAGTGCAACGGTTCCTCCCGCTGTAGTCGTCAAACGGCTTGGCACACAGGCAGCACACCCCTATGGTCATACCTGTTGGTAGTCTCACCTCTGTCTGAGTACAAGCAGGGCACACGAGCAGCAGCATGCGGCATGCAGCGCAGCGGTTCCTCCCGCTGTAGTCATCAAAGGGCCTCACGCACAGACAGCACACTCCAATCGTTGCTTGTTGCGGCGCTGCTGGTGGCACAGCCAGGCTGGGAGGGGAGAGGGATAGGAAGAGAGCGAGGTTCGGAATAGGTGGGTTGAGAGGGGGGAGGGCAGGGAGTGAGGGAGCGAGCGGGGCAAACGAGGAGAAAAGTGCTGATCTGACAACTGGGGTGGTACAGCAAGTCACAACTCACAAGGCATGAAAGACAAAGGCCACTGATGGTCAAAGAATCTTCCAAGGGGAGTTCTGAGGCAACTGATAAAGTCATCTCTTTGGGGAATTCTGATAACGAATCTCACCGGTGGTCAAAGACAAAGTTCTTCCCCTGAAAGAAACCCCCATCTGGGAACGCCTCGAGATAACGCACGATGCCCCCTGACAGCTGCACACACACAGAGAGAGGGCATAAGAAACAAGGCATGATATGGTATGGGCTAGTGTGGCATGGGATGGGATGGCATGGAAGGCAGAAACCCCCATTTGGGAACGCCTCGAGATAACGCACGATGCCCCCTGACAGCTGCACAATGCATGGGGTGCAAGGATGGGGCATGGCGGAACAAGGCATGATACAGTATGGATGGCATGGCATGGCACGGAAAAATCTTGAAACAATGCACAAAGCGTCCTGACAGCTGCACAGTGCACTGGGTGGAACGAACAAGGCATGGAATGGGACGGAAGAGCACAGCACCGCACAGCACAGCAAGGCATGGCACGGCACGGCACGGCACGGCACGGCACGGCACGGCACGGCACGGCACGGCACGGCACGGCACGGCACGGCACAGCACAGCACCACATGCACCGCATAGCACACACCTGCACCACATGCACCGCATAGCACACACCTGCACCACATGCACCGCATAGCACACACCTGCACCACATGCACCGCATAGCACACACCTGCACCACATGCACCGCATAGCACACACCTGCACCACATGCACCGCATAGCACACACCTGCACCACATGCACCGCATAGCACACACCTGCACCACATGCACCGCATAGCACACACCTGCACCACATGCACCGCATAGCACACACCTGCACCACATGCACCGCATAGCACACACCTGCACCACATACACCGCATAGCACACACCTTCACCACATGCACCGCATAGCACACACCTGCACCACATGCACCGCATAGCACACACCTGCACCACATGCACCGCATAGCACACACCTGCACCACATGCACCGCATAGCACACACCTGCACCACATACACCGCATAGCACACACCTGCACCGCATAGCACACACCTGCACCGCATAGCACACACCTGCACCGCATAGCACACACCTGCACCACGTCTTGGAAGCCAGGCCCCTTGGATCCAAGGTAGGCCGTGGCTGACAATTGTTGTTCATAAGAAAGAGCACAGAACCACGTGGCACAGCACAGCACCGCACTGCACCGCACTGCACCGCACAGCACACACCTGCACCACGTCCTGGAAGCCAGGACCCTTGGATCGCAGGTAAGCCGTGGCTGACTCACAGCGGACCCCTCCCGTGCAGTGCAATACCCGCACAGCACTGCACCGCACCACACAGCACCACACAGCACCGCACAGCACCACATACAACCGAGCACATACACAGACCTGCACCACGTCTTGAAATCCAGGCCCCTTGGATCGGAGATACGCCGTGGCTGACTCACAGCGGACCCCCCCTGTGCAATACCTGGTGGGAAGTGGGGGAGGGAATGGGGGAAACGCTTAACTAAACACCACACAACTTACGTACGCACAGGTTTTCCCCTCAGCTTGTACCGCGGAGCTCCATAAGCTTGCACACATATTCACATTGCTCGAATTTGCTTCAGTTGCTTATCTATCTAGGCAACACAGCACCAGCAGCAGCACTCACATGAGCACCGTTTTGTCTCTCAGCTTCTCCTCATGCCTGTCCACCCATGCCGGCAGATCGCTGAACCGAGTTGCACTGCACCTGTACTGTACCATCCACCCACACACAATTGCTTACCGACACAGCACCAGCAGCAGCACTCACATGAGCACCGTTTTGTCTTTTAGTTCGTCTTCGTGCCTGTCCACCCATGCGGGTAGATCGCTGAACTGGCGAATGCAGGGGTCGATAAATGTCACTCCTGGGAGGTGGTGTCAGGTATGGGATTGTGCGGTGCAAGGGAAGTGACAGAGGAAAGGAGGGGATCGGGCATGTATGCAGTATCCCCCTTGCCTCGTGCGTGTCCACCCATGCCGGTAGATCGCTGAACTGGCAGATGCAGGGGTGGATGAATGTCAATCCTGAGGATGGGGGGAAGGGTGTGGCATAACGGGGAGTAGCAGAGGAAAAGGATGAAAGGGTGCATCCATAGGGGTTATCCTCTCCTTGCCTCGTGTCTGTCCACCCAAGCCGGCAGATCGCTGAACTGGCGGATACAGGGATCGATGAATTCCACACCTGAGCGGTGGTGTCAGGTTTTGGGTTGTGCAGTGCGGTGCAAGAGCAAGTAGCAGAGGAAAGGAGGAGCTGGCTGGGGCATGCATGCAGCATCCTCCTTGCTTTGTGCCTGCCCACCCAAGAGAGAGAAACAAAACTTGACCTCAGAACATACCTCACAACTAGAATCTCAGAAATAAGTTGACTTTTGAGTCGACTCAAAAGTCAACTTGCTTTGCGCCTGTCCACCCAAGAGAGAAAAAATCCAAGCATCACAACTAGAATCTCAGAAATATAAAACATGACATGACCCCAGAACACATGGGTTGACTTTTGAGTCAACTCAAAAGTCAACTCGAAATATAAAACATGACCTGACCCCAGGCCAGAACACATGGGCATAACAAGGAAGCGACTGGCAGCACCTTTGGGCGGCACGAATCGTCCGATGCGCGTCTCGTACACGTTCCTGGTGTCCAATACCACCATGCCACGTGGCACACGCCCTTCCTCCTTCTCCTCCTGCTCCTCCTCACACTCTCCCGTTGATTCCTCCTCTCCCTCCACTCCCCCATTCTCCACTCCCCCATTCACCATTTCTCCATTCTCCACTTTCCCATTCTCCATTCCTCCATTCCCCACTCTCCCTTGCAACATGAGTTGATGAAACGCCTCTGCAGACACGTGATTGGCTGTGAGGGAGAGATCCACGGGGCATAGGGTTACCAGCTCCTGAGATGTAACCAGAAGCGAAGGAAAAGAGGCACAGGGAAGAGAGGCAGGCAGAGTGAAGATGGGAGCAAGCAGGGTCTAGGGTGCATGCACGTTGCATTCCCATGTTATCCTTCCTGGGGTCCGGTCCGGTCCGGCTGCTGAATGAAACCCAGAACGGGAACCCCACTCTAAACCCCAGAACCTGTTTTTTGAGAATTCTCAAAAAACGCCCAGAACGGGAACCCCACTCTAAACCCCAGAACCTGTTTTTTGAGAATTCTAAAAAAACACCCAGAACGGGAACCCCACTCTAAACCCCAGAACCTGTTTTTTGAGAATTCTCAAAAAACACCCAGAACGGGAACCCCACTCTAAACCCCAGAACCTGAGCTGCTCACTTCCTTATCATTCCTCCTAAACCCTGAACCCAGGGCCTTGAATTGCACCTGGTATCTCACCTTGACTATCCGCACAGAGAGGGCTGCACGTTGCACTCCCGCACTATTCTGGGATCAGGCGGCCAATCACAAGGAGGAACCCACTCTAGTTGCACTCTATTCTGGTAACCTCACCTTGACTATCCGCACTGAGAGCGCATGTACGTTGCACTCCCGCGCTATCCTGGGATCTGGCGGCCAATCACAGGGCTCCAGCTTGAAGTCGGTGTGGGCAAACCAATTGGAAGGGTGCTGGGAGAGAGAGGCGATGTGACTATGAAGAGCGGACATGCGACCCACTACCTGCAATAAAGTGATTATAACGGGGGGTTCGGGAGGAGGGGGGGAGTGGGGAGAGAGCGACTAGCTTTAAGTTGGTGCGGGCAAATCAAGTTGTGATTATAAGGGTGGTTGGAGTGGGGGGCGATGTGTTTGTGAAGAGCAGGCATGCGACCCACTACCGGCCCTGCCAGTCGATGATTATAACGAGGGTGGGCGGGTGGGCGAGGGGGAGAGAGAGAAAGAATAGCCTGCAAGGCAGTTTGGGCGAACCACTTGGCTGAGCGGTGGGAGAGGGCGGCCAGACTATGGAGGGCGGACATGCGACCCATTACGTGCCAACAATTGATTACAACGGGGGTGAGTGGGTGGGAGGTGGGAGAGGGTGCGATGTGACTGTGGAGGGCGGACACGAGAACCACCCTCTTCTCTGCAGAGTGATATTAACGGGGTTGGATGGTAGGATAGTGCGACAAAGTTGGTCGTTGAATTTCAATACTACTAGCCGTGACGTTAAAGCCTTGCTTAGACACGCGGACGCGACCCAAGACCAACGTATTTGGCGTCCCCGTGGCGTTCCTGTCTCCTATTTAAAGCCCAATAGAACTTACCGTGACGTTAAAGCCTTGCTTGGATACGCGGACGCGGCCCAAGAGGCCTTCCTCCTCGCAGATACGTCGCATCCAATCAGCTGCTGCCACGTCATCAGAAACATCCACGTACTGGTAGTACAGCAACACGCCGTAACCCTCGGGTTCTGTACTGTTCATCGAGTTTGTAGTCGTTATAGTCTCACTCGACGCCATCGCACACACCACAGACTTGAAGCGATATAAGCGCGCCCAGAAATTTCGACCGTTCTGGAGACAAGTGAACTGTTGAAACTGAGTTTGCGGATCAAAGCTGACTATATCGAAGCCTATTAGCACGGAAGTGCATACAATGGCGCACGAATAACGCAAAGTGAGAGGTACCGTAGTAGCCTAGTGGCAAGTCCCTTAGCTCACACTTTCCACGTGTAAAGCGGAGCCTTAGGACGCGGTAAAAGTACTCGATCGGGGGGAGATCGAACCGGTCACCGTACTGAAAGGTACACAACCGTTTACAACCGCGCTAAAAAAACGATCCTGAGGCGATCGAATCTCCACTTTTACCGCGTCCTTAGAGTTGTCGCGGTTTGGTTATGGTGTTCGGTGAGCAGAGCAGGAAAGTATCGTCAGCTCTTTGTGCTCCTTGCGGAAACTTTGTGTTTCAAGTTCGGTAACAAACGGTTGAACACGATAACGTGCGCTCTCAAAAGGTTTAGTAGGTCTACCTCTTTGAACCGCGCTATTATCTTCTCAGAAATTGAAATCGATTCGTTATAGACCTAGTTTGGAAAATGGAGTGCTGTTGTTGTGAATGACATAATTATAGAGTTTCCGTTTTACGATTCAAACCGAGAGCAATATTTCATTACGCTGCACCTTTCCTTCGCCATTCCCCCCCGCTTCCGTCGCCGCGTTCGGCGCCGCGTTGTGCGCAACACACCCGATTACTTACACGTAGCTATGATGAAATCAATAGCCGTTACGAACCGCGTCGCACTACTGACAAACTGTGCCAGCCACCGAGAGCAATGCCACGTCGCGCAGGAATTTCGAGCACGCAGCAGCAGCGGCGGCGCTAATTGCGCGATCTCATCGAGTCTAGGCGTCGCAGATTCTAGAAGCTTCCCGTCGGCCCATCGGAGCAGCTGCTTTAGTTTCCATCCGACGCGGCAATTGCGTCGCTCTGAGAGTGCCACGTGCCATCAGGCGGGCGATCCGACGTGCCAGCGTTACGCACAGCAGCCTCTGCGAAATTCACGATTCGCGCAGTCAACCTTCGCGAAGAATAACCAGTTTTCACGAAATTGGCGACGGCAAAACTGGTCTCGCAATGTAGATCCGAGGCTGGCTTTTCCCAGATGCAGCCTCCCCCAGTTGGCTCCCCCTATCTCTGCATCTGAACCGTCAATCTCCGTTCAATCTCCACCACCCATTCCGCACCAATCTCTGGTAGCATCCATCGCCGCATCGCAGCCGTCCATTCCCTTCGCGCTGCCATCTCGACCGTTGATATCAGCAAGCGACACGTGGGGGGTGTGGGCCGCGCTGCTAGCAGCCGCAGCTGTCGGCTTCTGGTCGGAGCGCCATACCGATTTAGGACGCGCGTTAAGCGGGCCGTTAGTCGCCACATTATTAGGCCTAGCCGCGAGCAACTTAGGCCTAATACCCTCTGAGGCTCCTGCATACGTCGTAGTTAATCGCTTCCTGCTGCCTCTAGCCGTTCCTCTCCTGCTCTTCGCCGCTGACCTAAGGAGGGTGATTAAAGACACCGGGCGGCTGCTTTTGGCGTTTTGCGTGGGCTCAGGTGCGTCACTGTGCGTAGTAAGTACATATCTGTCATACGTGACCCTTCCTCTGTCCATCCTGAGGTGTAGGATTCGGGGTTTAGGGTCTAATCCGTCTTTCCCCCCCTTACACTCCCCCGTCATCACAGTACGTTCCCAGCGCTAATTCATCCCTTCTTCCCCCTCTCCCCTCTCCTCCTCGCCCTCTCCCTTTCTGCCCCCTCCCCCACTCACCTCCTCCCTCCCCGCCCCTCCTCCCCATGCAGTCGGCGCCCCCCTGGTGGCCTTCCTTAGCCACCCTGCCAGCTCACAGGACTTCCCCTCCTGCTTCTCCCTCCTCTCCTTTTTTTGAGGCGCCTCAAAAATAGGTACCCCCCTGGTGACCTTAACCGCCCTGCTGCTCACAGGACTTCTCTCCTGCTTCTCCCTCCTCTTCCCCCAACCCCCCTTCCCCCACCCTCTCCCCCGGTGCAGTCGGCACCATCTTTGGCACCAAGGTGGCCTTTACCGCACTGCCACTCACAGGTCTTCCGTTTCTCCTTCTCCCGCCCCTCCCCCCTCTCTTCTCTTCTCTCCTCTCCTCCCCTTCCCTTCCCTCTCCCCACATGCAGTCGGCACCATCCTAGGCACGCTGGTGGCCTTTGCTGCACTGCCCCTTTCCTCCCTCTCCCCTCCCTTCCCACTTACCCCCTCTTTCCCCTCTTCTCGCCACCCCCCCCTTCACCGTTTCTCCCCACGTGCAGTCGGCACCATCTTTCGAACCCTGGTGGTCTTTGCCGCTCTGCCGCTCCGTATAAGGCATCCTCTCCTCCAACCTCTCCCAACCCCCTTTACTTTCCCCCCTGCCCCCGTTCCCCCCCCCCTCCCCCCCCTCCCTTCTCCCCCCTCACCCCTCCCCCTTTTCCCCCCTCACATGCAGTCGGAACCATCTTTGGTACCCTTGTGGCCTTTGCCGCCCTGCCACTCCGGTCGCTGGGCGGCGACGGTTGGAAGATAGCGGCTGCACTGATGGGCCGGCACATAGGGGGAGGTGAGTCCGCGGAATAAGATAGAGGTGTAGTTGCATGGGGTGAGGGGGGCATGGGGAGCATGGGGGGTATGGGGGGTGAGGGGGGCATGGGGGGCATGGGGGGAATCGCATTGGGGATACGGGTGCACGTGGGAGGCATGGATTGTTGAGAGATGACTTTTGAGTCGACTCAAAAGGCATGGGGGGCATGGGGGGTATGTATGGAGGGTATGGGGGGGATTGCATGGGGGGCATGGGGGGTATGGTGGGAATTGCATTGACGATATGGGGGCACATGGGAGAAAAGGAGATAGGGGGAGGGGAGAAATGGAGGGCAGTGACCAAGGCATTACAGGCATCACCATCAGTGGTGACGGCAGCTCTGGCAGCCGACAACCTCCTGTGCACCACGCACTTCACTTCATCCCATCCTCGCTCCTTTTTTTCCCACTTCCTTACTCCCCCAATTCCTTTCCTACGTCCCTTCTCTTCCCTGCTCCCCCGCACCCACCCTCCCAGCCGTGAATTACGTGGCAGTGACAGCGGCATTGCAGGCATCACCATTGGTAATGACGGCAGCTCTGGCCGCCGCCAGCCTGCTGTGTGCGCTGCACTCGCACCCCATCCCTATCCCCCTCTTTCCCACTTCTCCATTTCCCCGCTTCTCCAATTTCCCACTTCCCCACGTCCTCCCCCCCACTTCCCCTCTCCCTTTTTTTCCACCCACCCCTCCCAGCTGTCAACTACGTAGAAGAGACAGACAGAGGCGCTACAGGCATCACCGTGGTAAAGGCATCTCTAGCACCCCACAACCTGCTGTGTGCGCTACAGCGGGTGCTGGTGGTGCATGTGATTCATCTTCCCGGCCTTCCTCCCCCTTCCCCTCCACTCCCCAATCCCAGCTGTGAACTACGTGGCAGTAACAGAAGCACTGCAGGCATCACCATCGGTGGTGACGGCAGCTCTGGCAGCCGACAACCTGCTGTGCGCACTCCACTTCACGACCCTTTTCGCCATCGCTGCTAGCATACCTGCAGAAGGGGAGGGGAAGACGGAGAGCAGTGCTTCTGGCGCCGGTGATGCTGCTGCTGCTGCTGCTGCTGCTGCTGATGCTGCTGCTGCTGCTGCTGCTGCTGCTGACACACAAGCATCAACCTCACAGGTATGTGTCCTTAAGACAGACAGCAGCAGCTCTGGCAGCCGACAACCTGCTGTGTGTGCTCCACTCCACAACCCCCCTCGCCCTCGCTGCAAGCATCCCGTGCTTGCTTGCAGCACAGTGCTCATGCTGGCACTGCAATCAATCTCTCCCCCACTACACCCGTCTGTGTCCCCCACCCCCTCCATCCAGCCTTCATTTGAAGTATCAGCAGCAGCGACCGCCCTCGCCCTCGCAGCCTTGCTCTGCTGGCTCGGCTCCTCTCTAGCAAAGAAACCGTCCTCTTGAACTCCATTTCTTCTCCCTTCTTCACCGCATTGCACCCATCCGGCAGCCTTCATTTGACGTGTCAGCAGCAGCCACCGCCCTCGCCCTCGCAGCCTCTCTCTGCTGGCTCGGCTCCTCTCTAGCAAAGAGACTAGCCTTCGTTGGAGGCACCATCCCTTGTGTCACGGCGCTCGTGCTGGCCTTCGCTACAGTCACACCCAGCCTCGCCGCCCCTCTGGTTGTTCCCGGGGAAAAGATGGCTGCGTTGATGCTGCAGGTGAGAAAGGGCGAACTTTGCTGCTATAATCACAACTCACCTGCGCTGGCATTCGCTACAATCACACCAGCCTCGCCGCCCCTCTGGTTGTTCCCAGGGAGAAGATGGCTGCGTTGATGCTGCAGGTGAGTCTAGGTATAATAACGCCTCGCCTCGCCTCATGCTTGAATTCGCTACAGTCACACCCCACCTCGCCGCCCCTTAGGTTGTTCCGGGAGAAAATGGCTGCACTGATGCTACAGGTGAGAGAAGCGGTCATCTCTTGCTGCTATAGTCACGCCTCGCCTCATGCTGGCATTCGCTACTCACACCCAGCCTCACTGTCGCGCTTCCCACCCTGCCTCTCCTGATCCCCCCCTTCCATCCCATCAGGTCTTCTTTGCTTCCATAGGAGCCAACGGCAATCTCTCTGCCATCCTCTCATAAGCCCCCTCCCTCTTCCTCTTCATCCTCTCCTCTCCCTTTGCTTGCTACAACCCCTCTTCCTCCCTCTACTCCCTGCCATCCCATCAGGTCTTCTTTGCTTCTATCGGAGCCAACGGCAATCTCTCTGCCATCCTCTTATCAGCACCCTCCCTCTTCCTCTTCATCCTCCTCCAACTCTCCCTCCACCTCCTCTTCACCCTCTCCCTCGGTCGCCTCCTCTCACTCCCTCTAAAGCACCTCCTCATTGCCTCCAATGCCAACGTGGGAGGGCCAACCACAGCAGCCGGCATGGCTGCCTCTAAAGGCTGGCGCTCCCTGACAGTCCCGGCTATACTCGTGGGGATTTTCGGCTATGCGACAGCCACTTTCCTCTCAGTAGCACTAGGCCATACAGTCTTAAAGCCCATGCATCTGAGAGCACTGCTCTCCTAGTGCCACCTTCTCTCCATTCCTCTCACTACACCTCCTCTTCACCCTCTCCCTCGGTCGCCTCCTCTCCTTCCCTTTGAAGCACCTCCTCATCTCCTCGAACGCCAACGTGGGAGGCCCAACCACCGCAGCCGGCATGGCTGCCTCCAAAGGCTGGCGCTCCCTGACCGTTCCGGCTATACTCGTGGGAATATTCGGCTATGCGACAGCCACTTTCCTCTCAGTAGCTCTAGGCCATACTGTCTTAAAGCCCATGCACCTGAAAGCAGTTCTTTCCTAGCGCTGCCTCCGCTCCTCTCTCACGCTCCTCCTCCACCTCCTCCTCACTCCTCTCCCTCATTGCCTCCAATGCCAATGTGGGATGAGAGGCCCAACCACAGCAGCCGGCATGGCTGCTGCAAAAGGGTGGGGGATTTTGGATAGGCCACTGCCACATTCCTGTCTTTTGTGCAAGGCCATACAGCGTTGACGCCCATACATAGAGCAGGTGTTTTCTAGAGGCAGCTGCTGCTTCCAAGGGCTGGTGATGCTGTGACAAATATTGTTATACGGTAACTGTAAGAGCTTTGGCTCGGATCAGGGGAGCACTATTGAGTATGAATTTGTTGGAAATAAGAAGTCGCTAGAGCGCAGCGGAAGCTCCAGGAATTAACGACGTCCCTACGGCGGGGCTATTGGTCACTCAGAGGTAGCTCTCCTGGCTTGTAACGTGGTGCCAAAGCAGCGGCCGAGGGTAGGCCGGACACAAGCTTGAGATATGTGTAATATGAGCAAGGCATTACATTCTGTTATATAGCAAACGCATAGGGCAAACAGTTACCAAGGCGCAACTGTATAACAGTTGCGCTGCGTCGCTTGGGTTGCCTTGTTACAGTCACGCTGGCGAGACTTTCCAGCTTCGGCAAGGGATGGTATCCTGCCGCGCCCCACAGGTCAGTTTCGCGTACTGTAGACGATGACTCCTGCTGTCGATTCGACTCTTGAGCTGCCACGCGGGTCGCAACCGCTGTGTTCGGTTGCGGCCCGTTGACTCGCCACCAGGTTCAACTCCCTCGCTATGGCGAGCCCCTGTAAACACACTTCGAACAGTGCACTTATAATAAAAGCATACAAACATATTCTCAACAGAATTGACTTCCCTTCAGTGCCATACGATCCGATCCAACTCAATCGATCTTTATTGTTGATGATACCGTAATTCACTTGTCAGGGGTTTGCGTAAAAAAATCAAGCTTAACTTAACCCGGACAGCCAGTGCATCTAGGGTTTTTGGTGGAAAACATTGTGACACCCTTATAATGCAAACAGCAGGGCGGCTATGATAGCGACAGCTAGAAAGACGTACTTGAAGCAAGCAACGAGGATGACTACAGTGGAGACAAGGACCTGCCAGGAGAGGTAGAGCAGCGCACAGGCAAACACCCCCGCTAGAATCACAGCTAGAGCGTTTTCCGTTGAAGGCGCCAGCCAATCAGAGTCCACACCACCACCGATAGTACCTCCCCCCCTTCCTCCTCTTCTTCCCCCTCCGCCTCCTCTTCCCCCTCCCCCCCCATCCACCTCCTCCTCTTCCTCCTCTTCCTCCTCCCCCTCCCCATCCACCTCCCCTTTCTTCTCTTCTATCCCCGTTGCCGACTCTGCGGAATCTAGGTATCCAAGACCAATCAAATATGTTTCTGCTGCTGCTGCTGCCGCGGCTGCTGTTGCTGCTGCCTCTGCTGCTGCTCCATCTGTTACCGCTACTGTTACTGTAGTCAGACGCGCTGTAGCTTCTCTCGTTATAGTCGTCTTCCTCCTCCAGGACTATACCCGACCATCGTTCCCCATCTGATTCCTGAGCTGCACGGCTGACACTTGTAACCGGTCGTCTTCTAACGGGGATGCTATTGCGCTGGCGTTGGCGTGGGTCAAGCGATGGGAAAATAGAGGGAGGGAAGCGACTTGCAGAGATCACTCGGGGCGACGAGCTGCACTCGAGTGGCAGCCGCAGCTGCATGGCTTACTTAGTGAAATTACTAAAATAGTACCTCTCAAGACAAGGACAATCAACAGAATTCAGAATACCACATGAAGTACGAGGATAGAAGTAGCGCGACCGAGACCGCCTCGACGGCTTTAAAGTTTCGCGGCCAACCAAACTCGAATCGCTTCACTGGTCGCCGAATCTACCAGAATTACGAGCTAAATCGGCCAACAGATATAGTAGTGTCTGGACTCGATTCTTCGTTTACGACCTAGTACCGCGATAAAGGCGATTTCGCACAAATCAGGGTCCAAATAGCGGTTTTTGAGAAATCACGAAACTAGCTGGTTTCTTGATGTGCATTTCGAAGGATGTTATTGGGAAGCGTGTAGCCCTTCGAGAGCTCGAGCAATCAGTAACCAGACCAAACATGTTTCGCAGAAATGAGCTGACTCGTTTACCAGAACTAATGTCGCTAGTGAAGTGTACGTTTGAGGGATACAACTAGTCGCTGTATTCACTTCTGCTATTTTGATAATATTTCTTGCATTGGAAAAACGGGAGTCATAAAATTACAGAGCACACAAGCAGAATTGAACTGGCAGTTTCTTAGCCTTATACTTGTTCTGTTAGCAGCTCAACTGCAAGTGAAAGGTCACCATTTGTCGCATTCAACGCTTCTTGAGCAGCCGACTGTAAAGGAAGCATGGTTAAACATGCGAACATATTGGAATTGGAACTTGAGGCTGACGTGAATCAGAAGTAAAGAAGGTTTGGAACTTTTACGCATAAGACACATGAAGTGTACAGCACATACCTGGTTAAAGCCCATGTCGCACAACTGTCGCACAGATGTCGCTCTAGCACCATCATTGCTCCTGCCAGCACCATCGGCTGTACCATGCATGTGGTGGGGGTCACTCAAGAGCTGCTCATTCTGCTGGGGATGGCTGGCCTGGCTGGGGGAATAAGCCCAGCCACTAGAGAGGACTGTGGCTCTGGGAGGAGGGGAAGGGGGAAGGGAGAGAGAGGGAATCTTAGACCACTAGAAAGTCAGGTAGCCCGCTGCAGTTGGCTCTCTGGCCTGGGGAATATGCCCAGCCACTAGAGAGGACTGTGGCTCTGAGAGGAGGGGAAGGGCGGAGGGAGAGAGAGGGAATCTTAGACCACTAGAAAGTCAGGTAGCCCGCTGCAGTTGGCTGGTCTGGCCTGGGGAATATGCCCAGCCACTAGAGAGGACTGCTGTTCCAGGAGGAGGGGAAGAGAGAGCAACAACAGGAGCAGCACTGGCGAAAGCAGCAACAGTGTTGGGCAGTGAATGATTGGGAGCATCACTGAAACCGCCACAGCTCCCTCAACTCCTCTACCTGCTCTGGTGGATCCCACTGTTGTTCCTGCTCCTGCTGGGAGCATCTTGAGACGATATCACCGCCACCTCACAGTTCCCTCCCCTGCTCTCACACGGAGTGCCTCCAGTTGCCACACCCCATCCCCCCACAGCACACCAACGCACCTTCCCAGGGCAGCAGCGGCGGCAGCAGCACTGGCGGAAGCAGCAGCAGCGTTGGGGAGCGGGTAGTTGGGGGCATCGTGAGAGGCTATCACCGACACTGCCACAGTTCCCTCCCCTGCTCCTGTTGCTCTCATTGTTCCTCCTGCTCCTGCTGCCGCTCCTGCAGCGGCTATAGATGGTCCCCCTGGTGCTGCTGCCGAGCCTGCTAGAGTCCGGCCCCGCCCTGGGAACCTCTGAGGGGTATGCAAGCAGAAGCACACACACGTGCACATGCCCATGCCCATGCACATGCACATGAACATACCCATGCACACTCACACGCACATGCACACGCACACGCACATGCACACATTCACACACATGCACACTCACATGCACATGCACATGCACACGCACATGCACACATACACACACACAGGAAGACGGAGAGAAAAAATGAGCTGAAAGAGGAGCCAAAAGAGCCGCCATACAGATACACATGCACATTAATTTCTTAGTAATAGGGAGGGCTGCAGGGCGACGTGATAAAAGATTTGTTTTGAGACGTCTCAAAAGGAGCCAAAAGAGCCGCCAAACAGATACACATGCACATGCATTTCTTAGTAATAGGGAAGGCTGCAGGGCGAAACCTTGAACCCTAAACTCCAACACCAAAACCCGAAACCCTGGATTTCTTGACTGAACGGCAACTTACAGGATCAGCCGCGGCCGTTGCTGGTTGCAGCGTGCTTTCTTGGCTCGCAGGCTGCCCCCCCCACCCATGTGACTGTGACTGTAACGAAGGGTTTGGATTACTAGCAGCAGCCATTGCTGAAAGCGAGTGCACGTTCGATAGAGGCCCCTGGTTGTACATGTGTTGGCGCTGCTGATTGTATCCCCCCTGCTGCTGCTGTTGCTGTTGGATTAGCCTTTGCTGCTCCTGCTGCTGCTGCACTGCTGCAGCCACCGATCGCCACCTGTCCTGCACACGAGCTACGGATGCTTGCATGGATCGCCACGTGGCGTGCAGCGATTGGCTGATGCTCGCTGGCCTGAGGCAGAGAGAGGGTGACGTGCACAGGAAGAAAGTGGAAGAGAAGGGATATAGCACAGTCCGATAACCTTATTTGCACCCTCGTGCCCTTTTGCAGCTCTCTTTCACTGAAGTGGGTTAAATGACGTGATGATAGGGATGAATCCCGGAATAAGAAGGTATGCAAACCGCAGGGAGGAGGAGGCGTCCCCAAGGGTGGTGACGGCAGCAGCGGCGATAAAAATTCTCAGGCGCCAACTGAATGAGTGAGGGTAGAACTAAATGCGTGAGGGTAGAACTAAATGCGTGAGGGAAAAACTAAATGAGAGGGTAAAACTAAATGAGTGAGGGTAAAACTAAATGAGTGAGGGTAAAACTAAATGAGTGAGGGTAAAACTAAATGAGTGAGGGTAAAACTAAATGAGTGAGGGTAAAACTAAATGAGTGAGGGTAAAACTAAATGAGTGAGGGTAAAACTAAATGAGTGAGGGTAAAACTAAATGAGTGAGGGTAAAACTAAATGAGTGAGGGTAAAACTAAATGAGTGAGGGTAACGAGGGAGGCTCACCGCAGGGAGGAGGAGAGATGCCCTAGGCTGGTAAAGGCAGCAGCGGTGATGGGATGTCCTCCCGCGATGAACCCGGGCCGGCGCACCATGGGAGCCTGATGGGTGCGGTGGTGTGCAGTGGTGTGTGTGTGGTGGGTGTGGTGGGTCTTACCGCAGGGAGGAGGAGAGATGCCCTAGGCTGGTAAAGGCAGCAGCGGTGATGAGATGTCCCCCTGCAATGAACCCGGGCCGGCGCACCATAGGAGCCTGATAGGTGCAGTGGTGTGGTGGGTGTGGTGGGTGTGGTGGGTCTTACCGCAGGGAGGAAAGATCCCCAAGGCTGGTTAGAGCAGCAGTAGTGATGGGATGTCCTCCCGCGATGAACCCTGGCCGGCGCACAATAGAAGCCTGATGTGGTGTGGTGGTGTGATGTGGTGGATATGGTGGGTGGTAAATGTGTGGGGGTGGTCAGATGGGCAGTGGGCTGTGACATACTAGCGCTGGTCGGATGCCCCCCCGCAATGAACCCTGGCCGGCGCACCAACAAAGCCTGGTGGGTAAATGGTTGGTGAGTGGGTGTGTAGGTGGGAGCAGGTGAATCAGGTCTAGAGACAGCCCAGAACCGGCACACTGCAGCAGAGGGCACTGGCGGACCAGTCGGTAATGCATCCTGGCCGGCGCAGCTCATTGCCAAAGCTGGTACTGCAGAGGGATCGGAAGCAGCAGTGATCAGATGTCCCCCCACGATGAACCCTGGCCGGCGCACCATGGGAGCCTGATGGATGGGTGGTGGGCGGTTGAAGTGCGTGGTGGGTGGTTGCAGGGGAATATAGACAGTCCAGAACCACTACACAGCAGTGGCCAGCAGTGGCAGGAAGGCGCTCAGTGGTGGTGGGCAGTGGGTAGTGGATGGCGGGTGCAGTGGGTGGTGGGTGGTTGCAGTGGGTGGTGGGTGGTTGCAGTGGGTGGTGGGCGGTTGAAGTGCGTGGTGGGCGGTTGAAGTGCGTGGTGGGTGGTTGCTAGTGAATATAGACAGTCCAGAACCACTACACAGCAGTGGCCAGCAGTGGCAGGAAGGCGCTCAGTGGGGGCAATCACGGGAGCTTAATCTCATGCGGGCTTCTCATGGCGTTACCCTACCCATAGCACTACCCTAGATTGAAGGGTAGGTAGGTAGGTACTCACCCGGGTAACGAGATGACTCTAGGGAACGGAATGTGGCTGGGAAGGGGGTGACTATAAAGAGGACGTAACGAGACCTTGTGTGGTGGTAATCATGGGGTTTAGGGTAGGAAGGTAAGTTCTGACCAGGGCTCGCGATGACTCCAGAGAACTGAATGTGGCTGAAGAAGGTGTGACAATAGCGAAGGCGCCACGAACATCTGGGGGGAAAGTGATGGACATAATGGGAAAGAGAGAAAGGTAACCGACATGATGTTATAAGCAATAAAAAGATGGTAGATAGAGATAAGAAGGGCGGATTATGAGCAGTACTCGGAGATCGACACAAGCATTTTTGAGACGTCTCTAAAGACACAAGCATAAGAGCATGCCACTGGGTTTTTTTTTTGGTGCGACTTTTGAGAATTCTCAAAAGTCGCACCCAAGACACAAGCATAAGATCATGACACTGGGTTGAGGGGTGCGCAGACCAATTTTAAGTCGACTCAAGAGGAGCCTCAGAAGTGGGGAGAAAGGCAACTCACATGCTAGCCCTGAGAGGACGCCGCTTAGGTGACCAAGCAGAGAGGCGGAGGGGAGGAGCAGTTGGAACAGCACAAGGAGGACCCAAGGGTACCTGTGGAAGAAAGGGAGGGACTTTTGAGAATTGAGCTGAGAGGAGTGAGTGTGTATTAAAGCAGAGATGCAAGCAGCTGGAATTGCACGAGGAGGACCCAAGGGTACCTGTGTATTAGCGAGAAGCGAGGCAGCAATGGGATGGGATGGGATGGGATGGGATAAGATGGGCCTTTATACCACAGCAACACAGATTTGAAGGTTGACTGCTGCAACACTGGTGTGTTACAGAATTTCCTAGCAAAATCTCACCATTCGGTTGGCACAGTGTGAAGAAAACATTGCATGCACGTGAATTGCATGCAAGGAAAATCTCAAAACAACTCCAATAGAAAGGCCTCAACAGAAGTCTCGCCGGGCGGTTGTCTCACTGAAGAATCAAAAGATGCTGCATGAATGGGAGTTGTGTTTTTGGGTCGAATTCAAACAAGATGCCGAATGCATGGGAGTTGCCTTAGAAAATTCTCAAAGCAGCTCCACCAGTGAGTTCTTGAAACAGATCTTACCATGCGGTTGGCACAGTGAAGAAACCAAAGATGCTTGATGCACGCATGTATGCATGCATGCATGCTTGAGAGAATTCTCAAAGCATCTCCACCAGAGAGAGTTCTTGAAACAGATCTTACCATGCGGTTGACACAGTGAAGAAACCAAAGATGCTGCACACGGGTGAAACAGAACGCGGGGTGACACAGGGGAGGAGATACAGTGGGGAGGAGATACACGGGAGAATTTTCAAAAGTAACTCCAACTAAGAGAGTTCTCAAAAGTATTACCATGCGGTTGGCACAGTGAAGAAACCAAAGATACATGCAAAGAAACCAAACACGCGGGTGAAACCCGCATGCATTGAGGTTGTTTTTGAGGCGCCTCAAAAACAACCTCAATGGTTGGCACAGTGAACATGCAAAGAAACCAAACACGCGGGTGAAACATGGCGCGGGGTAACAGAACGGAGGGGGAAAATCAAGGACGAAACGGAAATGCAGAGGCATGTGGGAAATGAGAGTTGGAATAGAAGTTGATGCTTTGATTGAGAATGATGGGGGTATACATAGTTGGGGGTTGGATACTAGCCTAGGTTGGCATTATTGGACCCCAACCAATAAGTTGGGTTGGGTGATTATTGGTGGGGTCCAATAATGTTGGCCAAGTTGGGGTTGAGCCAACATTATTGGAGGGAGCCAATAATTCTACCCAACCCAACCTTTTGGGGTCCAATAATTGGACCAAGGTTGGGTTCCAACCTACAAACTGGGTTACCCCTGTTTGTACACCCAAACTAAGTTTGGGTGCTTATCTCTAGCCTATTCTATAGCATATATGCAGGTTACAAGAGGAGAGATATTCTAACAAGGCAAGGAGTGTAAACCACATGCAATGCACACACGGTACTGTGTCATGCCAAGAGAATCACTTGGCCTTAGGCACTGCATGGCTTCTATTTAACCCAGGAGACCACACCATGCCATGCCAGGTCTACTGTGGATGGCGTCGTTGAGGAGGGCGAGCAGCAGCAGCGCGATAAACGCCAAGAGCACTCCTGAGAACCCAATGCAGCACTCGCCAGCCCCACCAGCCCCACCACCCTAACAGCAATCCAGGCATGAACGCCAAGACACTGTGGATGGCGGCGTTGAGGCAGGCGAGCAGCAGCAGTGCGTGCAGCTGCCGGAGGGAGCCCAGGCCCCAGGTGGCGCCTCTAGTATAGGGAGAGGAGACCTGCACTGACCTCCTTTGACTTCCCCCTCCAATATGCAAGTCCAGGACGATCAATGCAAAGAGCACTCCAGAGAACCCAATGCAGCACTCGCTAGCCCACCAACCCCACCAGCCTAACAGCAATCCAGGCATGAACGCCAAGGCACTGTGGATAAGGGAGTTGAGGAGGGCGAGCAGCAGCAGCGCGTGCACCCAGGTGGTGCCTCTATACCAGGTTCCCCCCACCAACCCCACCACCCTAACAGCAGTCCAGGCATGAACGCCAAGGCACTGTGGATGGTGGAGTTCAGGCAGGCGAGCAGCAGCAGCGTGTGCAGCAGGCGCAGTGAGCCCAGGTGGCGCTCCAGAGGGGCAGGGCATAGATGCCAAGGCAGAGTAAATAACGGCGTTCAGGCGGGCGAGCAGCAGCAGCGCGTGCAGCAGGCGCAGTGAGCCCAGGTGGCGCTCCAGAGGGGCAGGGCATAAATGCCAAGGCAGAGTAAATAACGGCGTTCAGGCGGGCGAGCAGCAGCAGCGCGTGCAGCAGGCGCAGTGAGCCCAGGTGGCGCTCCAGAGGGGCAGGGCATAAATGCCAAGGCAGAGTAAATAACGGCGTTCAGGCGGGCGAGCAGCAGCAGCGCGTGCAGCAGGCGCAGTGAGCCCAGGTAGCGCTCCAGAGGGGCAGGGCATAAATGCCAAGGCAGAGTAAATAACGGCGTTCAGGCGGGCGAGCAGCAGCAGCGCGTGCAGCAGGCGCAGTGAGCCCAGGTGGCGCTCCAGAGGGGCAGGGCATAAATGCCAAGGCAGAGTAAATAACGGCGTTCAGGCGGGCGAGCAGCAGCAGCGCGTGCAGCAGGCGCAGTGAGCCCAGGTGGCGCTCCAGAGGGGCGGGGCATAAATGCCAAGGCAGAGTAAATAACGGCGTTCAGGCGGGCGAGCAGCAGCAGCGCGTGCAGCAGGCGCAGTGAGCCCAGGTGGCTCTCCAGCGGGGAAGCCAGGGGGAGGAGTGTGGAGAGGCAAGAAGGGGAAACCTGGAACCCTGCACTCACCTCCTGTCTCTGCCCCCCCCGACTTGTAAGTCCAGCACGATCAGTGCAAAGAGCACTCCGGAGAAGCCGATGCAGCACTCGCCAGCCCACCAACCCCACCACCCTAACAGCAATCCAGGCATGAACGCCAAGGCACTGTGGATAAGGGAGTTCAGGCAGGCGAGCAGCAGCAGCGCGTGCAGCAGCCGCAGTGAGCCCAGGTGGCGCTCCAGAGGGGCCGCCAGAGGGAGGAGTGTGGAGAGGTTGAGTGCAATGTGGAGGAGTCCCTTGTGGAAGAAGATGGAGGTGAGTGCGCGGTATACTGGAAGATAGCAGAGGAAATAGAGGGAATAGCAGAGGGGGAGAGAGGGGAACACAGGGGTTAGAGAAAAAAAGATTTGGAGAGGATTGTGAGTGAGTGAGGGATGCGAGAAGCCTCTCGCTGTGTGTGTCAATAATAATGTGTCTACTCGTCCTAAACCAGCACTGGTGAATGAGCGTGCAAGTGACTTTTGAGTAGACTCAAAAGCACGAACCAAGAGCATCAGGGACATCTATCAGAGACATCTCTAACCCAGCCAGCAATCTAACCCAGCCAGCACTATAAACCAGCCAGCACTGGTGAGTGAGTGTACCAAGCCTAGCGCACCTTTCCATTGCAGCACAGTTAGAAAGGGCGAGAAGCAGAACTCCCTGAAGCAAGCTGCAACCAGAGCCCTGCTTAGTGCTCACCTTGCCAGTGCAGCAGGGCGAGGGAGGGCGAGAAGCAGACCTCCCTAAAGCTGTCATAGCCAGTCAGTAGGTCGACCGCAAACACAGCCACACAGACGGCGAAGACTGAGGCTGTTATGAGAGGCACGGCCAGCCACCACTGGTGGATGTGCGTACCTATGCTGGCCTGGGAGGTGGGGTGGGGGGGTTGAAGGACAGACACGCAGACAGCCACACAGATGGCGAAGACGGAGGCTGTTACTTAAGGCACGCCCAGCCACCACTGATGGATGTGCGTACCTATGCTGGCCTGGGAGGGGGAGGGAGGGAGATAGGGAGGGGATGGGGGAGACGATGGGGGGAGGGGAGAGGAACCGCCACAACCACACACACACACACAGCCACTCAGACGGCGAATACTTAGGTTGATATCAGAGGCACGGCCAGCCACCACTGGTGGATGTGCGTGCCTGTGCTGGCCTGGAGGGAAAGGATGGGGGAAACGACGACGGATCGGATCAATCACTACCACCACACATACAGCCACTTTTGAGGCGCCTCAAATGTGCGTGCCTATGTTTGCCTGCAGAGAAGCGATGGGGGAAACGACGACGGATCGGATCAATCACTACCACCACACATACAGCCACACACACAGGTGTCGCGAAACTCCTACAGGTGTCGCGAAACTCCTACAGGTGTCGCGAAACTCCTAAAGGTGTCGCGAAACTCCTACAGGTGTCGCGAATCTCCTACATGTGTCACGAAACTCCTACAAGTTTGCTACAGGCAGGAATCGCAGACCTCTGATGTGACGTTGGACCGCATCGCGCCTCCACCACCGTTGATTTCCGCGATCCAACGGCCGACGCAATCGTCACAAGGTCAGAGACAATCTGACGGCCGAGGAAATCCTTCAGGCTGTGCAAGCCAAATCGGACGGCAGAGAGAATTTGATCCGTGGAGCCGCGATCCTTGAGGCAACGAAAAAATGTCGGAAAACGCGACGGATTATCGTTATTTCTTAAAACAAAGTCTTTCGACTCAGGTCAGAGCGCGAACTAGTGGCTGTGAGGTTGCGGGCAACGGCTAGCAAACCAAGCGCTTCGGCGGAATCTAAGCGGCAACTAAGAAAAACTGGCTTCTAGGCGAAACGTATGCTTGACGGATGATTGTTCAGTCAGCACAGCAGTGACCTTAGAGAATGCCGAGTATACGCGTTAGTGTCCTGAGCGTGCGCGTGAATTTTAAACTACCACTACACATTCAGCTGCTACAAAGCCTCGAAGTACATTTTCCAGAAAACAATCTTTTTAGTGCAGACAAAAGAAGGAAAGCACAAGCATACAATACATCAATTCAAGCTGCGCTGCACACAACATATTTTCCAAGCACAGAGACTCTTACAACCTGCGAGCCCAGCCTCCACGTACAATCTCCCTCCGGTTCTTGGGAGATTCCCGTTGTTTTCTCTGCGTCTCAAAATGCGACCTAACCTGGTTAATCTATTCAAACCTCTGCAGCACCGTATCCGAAGGAAACGGGTAATCTTAACTAGTTACATCCTGAACAGTTACACACTACACTAGCCGGACGCTTGCCATCCATAGCAGCACTCACACCTCAGTCCCTGCTCTTCTCTTGATTCACACTGGCCTTGCTTTTGGCTGCTTGCTTACTGCTCTCTCAGCTCTCCACTACTATGCTCGCTGCTCCCTCAACCATCCCCTAAATGCTTCTTTTGTGCTTGCTACCTAAACACTCTCTCCTTCGCCACCTGTCACCATCACTCTTTCCTACACTCCACTCAGCTACCGGTATCTCTGATCCTCTTTACCTCTCCTCTGTCTAGCCATTGCCTCTTGACATATCTCCCCTCCATCCATCCTCCTCTCGTCTCTTCACACCCATTGCCCATTCATCACTCCAGCCGTCATCTATCTACCGATGGCTAAGCTCCCCACCCTATTCCTCTTTCGCTACTTGCTCATGCCATCAGTCCCCAGTCACTCCAGTTGTCATCCTCACTGTCCTCATCCACAGGAGCTCTCCTCCTAGTGATCGCTCCTGCCAGCATTGCATTTGTAGCCCCACTCACAATAAGCGTACCTTCCCCATCTCCGCCGCTGCATCCTCACTATCCTCATCCACAGGAGCTCTCCTCCTAGTGATTGCTCCTGCCAGCATCGCTTGGGTAGGCCCCCCCCACTCAACTTTTCATTAATCGCTCCTGCTGTCATCCCCCCACCCCTCAACCTCCTTCCTCTAGTCGCTCCAATCATCTTCACTATCTTCATCTTCATCCACCGGTGCTCTTCTCCTCGTGATCGCCCCTGCCAGCATCGCATTTGTAGCCCCCCTCACACACAGCGTACCTTCCGCCCCTCTGCTCTACTCCAATCACTCATGTCACCATCATGCCCGCCCCTTTCCCCCTCCCTCCTAGTCACTCCAGTAATCATCCTCACTGTCCTCATCTTCATCCACCGCAGCTCGACTCCTCGTGATCGCCCCTGCCAGCACCTGCACTCCCTCCCGCTCCCATTTCCATAGCCACTCCAGTCGTCATCCCAGCTGCCCACACTCCTCCCCCTCTAATCACTCCAGTCATCATCCTCACTGTCTTCATCCTCATCCACCGGTGCTCGCCTCCTCGTGATCGCCCCTGCCAGCATCGCCCGTGCAGCCCCCCCCCCAACTCGTCCTGCTCATCAACCAGTGCCCCTGCAGCCCACACTCCAATCGACTCGACTTGCTCTAATCACTCCAGTCATCATCCTCACTGTCTTCATCCTCATCCACCGGTGCTCTCCTCCTCGTAATCGCACCCGCCAGCATTGCATTTGTGGCCCCCCTCACAAACGGCGTACCCTCCGCCCCTCCGCCCCCACCTCCTCTCCCTCCTCTCTCCTCCTCACTCTCCTCACTCCCCTCTGCCTCTTCATCCTCCTCTTTTTCCGCCGCTGCTTTTGCAGCCACTTCCTGCTGCTTCTGCTCCTGCTTCTGCGATTTCTGCTTTGCATGCTCCTTCTGCTGCTCCTCCTGCTCCCGCTGCTGCTTCCCACTCGCTTTCGCCTTCGGCTGGGCTTCCTCCTTGGCCGCCTCCTCCTCTGCCTTTTTCTTCTTCTCATACTCCACCAGGTTCTTCTTAAAGAGATCTACAAAGTCTCTCAACACTCCAAAAACTGGGGAGAAAGTACAGGAAAAGGAGATGGAAACAGGGAATTGATCAGCAAAGTCCTTAGTTGCCTCCTCGTCTGCCTTTTTCTTCTTCTCATACTCCACCAGATTCTTCTTGAAGAGATCGACAAAGTCCCTCAACACACTGAAGACTGGCGGGAGATGAGACGAAGGGTAGTGGGGGAGGCAGAAGAGGGAAGGGGAATGATTGTGCTTCCCACTCGCTTTCGCCTTGGGCTGGGCCTTCTCCTTAGCCGCCTCCTCCTCTGCCTTTTTCTTCTTCTCATATTCAACCAGATTCTTCTTTAAGAGATCGACAAAATCCCTCAACACTCCAAAGACTGCAAGGGGACGACAAGGAGAAGGAGATGGAACAGGGCAGGGCACAGTGACTTGGTGTAACACGTGTCAGATTCAGAGCCAAACCAGCGGAGCAGGTTCGAGCCAAACCAGTGAGCAGGTTCGGGCCAAACCAGTGAGCAGGTTCGGGCCAAACTAATGCATTCGGTTCAAACCGAATGAACGAAATCGGATTCAGCTGACTGTCCTGACTCAGCTGACTGTCTTGACTCAGCTGACTGTCTTGACTCAGCTGACTGTCTTGACTCAGCTGACTGTCTTGACTCACCAGGCGCGATTTCTGAGGCGCCTAAGAAATCGTCTCCGTTTTTGAGGCACCTCAGAAATTGAGACTCACCAGACACGAGCCAAACTCACTGAGTGTGTGACGGAGGTTGTTTAGGGATCGGAGCCACAATAGCCACATAATCTGAATCGGGCTGTTTTCACAGGGCCGTAGCCGAACCAACTTGATAGGCTCGAGCCCAACTCAGTGAGTGTAAAGGAGGTTGTCTTGGGGTCTGAGCTGAATCTGCTCTGAGAATCGGAGCTGAATCTGCTCTGAGAATCGGAGCTGAATCTGCTCTGAGAATCGGAGCTGAATCTGCTCTGAGAATCGGAGCCGAAGATGCTTCTAGGAATAATATTACATCTGAGCAGAACTTATTGAGTGTGAAGGAGGTTGTCTTGGGGTCCGAGCCAAATCTGCTCTGAGAATCATAGCCGAATCTGCTTCAAGAATTAAAGCCACTCTTATGTACTAGGCTCGAGCCCAACTCACTGAGTGTGAAGGAGGTTGTCTTGGGGTCCGAGCCAAACTTGCTCTGAGAATCATAGCCGAATCTGCTTCTAGGATAAAGGCCACACTTGCTTACTAGGTTCGAACCAAACTCACTGAGTGTAAAAGAGGTTGTCTTAGGGTCCGAGCCAAACTTGCGAGCGAGATTTTCAGCACTGGCGTTCTGGGAAGTGGGATAAAGGTGGTGGGGAGAAAGGGGGGGAAGGAGAAAGGGAAAGGTGAGCGGATGGGGGGCAAGGGAGAGCAGAGGGGGTCCGAGCCAAACTTGCGAGCAAGATTTTCGGCACTAACGTTCCGGTGGATGGGGGGGAATGAGGGGGCAAGGGGAAAGGAAAGGGGAAGGAGAGAGGATGGGGTGGGGGGATGGGGGACAAGGGAGGTGAAGAGGGGGTGCGAGCGAGATTCTCAGCGAGATTTTCAGCACTGGCGTTCTAGGAAGTGGGAGAAAGGTGGTGGGGAGAAAGGGGGGGGAGGAGGGGAAGGAGACAGGGGAAGGAGAGAGGATGGGGGATGGGGGACAAGGGAGATGAAGAGCGGGTGCGAGCGAGCCTCTCAGCACTGGCGTTCTGGTGGGCGGGGGAGACGATAGGGGGGAAATGGGGGAAGAGGGGGGAAGACTTTTGAGTCGACTCAAAAGTCAGAGGAGGAACGCGGGGAAGGGAGAGGGCCAAGACTCTCAGCACTGGCGTTCTGGTGGGCGGGGGAGATGATGGGGAAGAAATCAGGGGAAGAGGGGATGATTCTTCTGCTGATGCCATGCCATGCCATGCCAGACACTTTTACATGCTGATTCTTACTAATTGTGCATGAAGCATCCACCAGAGGGGCTCCTCTCTCACCATATCAAGGTGACTTTTGAGTCGACTCAAAAGTCACCTCTTACATGCACGTGTAGAGAGGGTGTTTTTGAGACGTCTCAAAGTCACCTCTTACACGCTGATTCTTACTAATTGTGCATGAAGCATCCGCCAGAGGGGCTCCTCTCACCATATCATCCAGCAGGCTGTGCATGTTGACGAGGTGACCTCAGAGTCAACTCCCTGCACCGTCACCTCAGAGGGGCTCCTCTCACCATATCATCCAGCAGGCTGTGCATGTTGACGAGGTGACCTCAGAGTCAACTCCCTGCACCGTCACCTCAGAGGGGCTCCTCTCACCATATCATCCAGCAGGCTGTGCATGTTGACGAGGTGACCTCAGAGTCAACTCCCTGCACCGTCACCTCAGAGGGGCTCCTCTCACCATATCATCCAGCAGGCTGTGCATGTTGACGAGGTGACCTCAGAGTCAACTCCCTGCACCGTCACCTCAGAGGGGCTCCTCTCACCATATCATCCAGCAGGCTGTGCATGTTGACGAGGTGACCTCAGAGTCAACTCCCTGCACCGTCACCTCAGAGGGGCTCCTCTCACCATATCATCCAGCAGGCTGTGCATGTTGACGAGGTGACCTCAGAGTCAACTCCCTGCACCGTCACCTCAGAGGGGCTCCTCTCACCATATCATCCAGCAGGCTGTGCATGTTGACGAGGTGACCTCAGAGTCAACTCCCTGCACCGTCACCTCAGAGGGGCTCCTCTCACCATATCATCCAGCAGGCTGTGCATGTTGCCATGCCGCATCATGCCACACCAGGCAACGTCACCATGTCACGAGGCGATATGGGACTTATCTCACCATGTCACGAGGCGATATGGGACTTATCTCACCATGTCACCCATGAGGCTGTGCACGTTGCCATGCCATCTAGCTACGTCCTCATCGTAGAACAGAGGGGGCAATAAGGGATCAAGAAGAGGGCTCCTCTCACCATGTCCCCCATGAGGCTGTGCACGCAGGCATGCCATCTCACAACGTCCTCTTCATAAAACAGCTGCATGGCTCAATAAGTATCCGCATGCTTCAACGGCAACACCTCCTCCTCAGCCCAGCCCACAATCAAAACAGGAGAGATATGGCATAATGGGAGGGAGCTCTCACCATGTCACCCATGAGGCTATTTTTGAGGCGTCTCAAAAAGCATAATGGGAGGGAGATCTCACCATGTCCCCCATGAGACTATTTTTGAGGCGTCTCAAAAAGCATAATGGGAGGGAGATCTCACCATGTCCCCCATGAGACTAAGCAAATTTTACTTTTGAGAATTCTCATAAGTAAAAATCATAATGGGAGGGAGCACTCACCATGTCACCCATGAGGCTGTGCACGTTGCCGTGCCATCTAACCACATCTTCATCGTAAAACAGCTGCATGGCCCGATAAGTGTCCGCATGCTTCAACGGCAGTGCCTCCTCCTCCCGCTTCTCCTCCTCCTTCTTCTCCTTCTCCTTCTCCTTCTCCTTCTCCTCCTTTTTCTCCTCCTCCTTTTTCTCCTCCTTTTTCTCCTCCGTTTTCTCCTCCCCTTTCTCACCCTCTCCGCTCTTCCCTCCATCGCCCTTCTCCCCCTCCCCTTCCTTCCCGTCAACCTCCTTACTCTCCTCCTTCTCTCCCTCCCCCTTCTCCCCCTCTTGCGCTTTCTTCTCCTTCGCTTTCTCCTTCTCCTCCTCCTTCTTCCTCTCCTCCTCGGCCATCTTCTCACACTCCTTCAACTCTCGCTCCACAAGCACCTTCCCTACGTCCAGCTCCTTTACCACCTCCGCCAGTCCCTTCTGGTCCACCTGCAAGGGGTGGGAGAGAGAAAGAAAGCACGGAAATATCGCCTTAGAGAAAAGCATCCCTCTGACCATCTTTCCTTCAACTCTCGCTCCACAAGCACCTTCCCTACGTCCAGCTCCCCCACCACGTGAGTCAATCCTTTCTGGCCCACCTCCAAGGATCAACCAAACAGGGGAGACGAAACAGGCTGGAGCAGATAAGATTCGCTTCGCACACTTCCTCTCCTCTCTTCCTCAGCCATCTTCTCACACTCCCTCAACAACTCCCTCGCTCCACCAGAACATTCCCTCTCTCAGTGAGCTCTTCTTGATCGCCTCATTCAACAGGTTCCGAGACCCATCTGTGAAGTGCTTCCAGAAGTAGACCCACTCTCGGGGAGAGGGAGAGCACACAGAAACACCGCCTTCCTCGGACCAGCGTCAACAAAAGGCGAAGTGAACTCAGCTCACCTTGATCGCCTCATTCAACAGGTTCCGAGACCCGTCTGTGAAATCCTTCCAGAAGTAAAGCCACTCGGGACGGCACTGGCTCAGGACCTGAAAGCAGTGTGACGATGGGAATAAGGAGAGGGGGAGTGAGGAGGAAAGAGGACGAGTGAAAAGGTGTAAAGAGAGAGAGCAAGAAAGTTGCAATAAGGCAATGGGAGGAGGGCAGAGACCTTTCCAAAATATAATAAGGCCTCTTCTCATGAACTCCTTCCAGGAGGGCAGAGACCTTTCCATGAACTCGAGCTGGTTTTTGAGAATTATCGAAACCTTTCCACGAACTCTTTCCAGGAGAAGAGTCACTCGGGACGTCTCTCGCTCAGGACCTGTACATTTTGAGAAACCATACGATATAACATATAAAATACAACGATACAATACATCACATAGTGTTCTATTCTACTATAATATATATCTCTAATCTCTTATACAAAAACACACCCTGATGAGGTACGCCAGGAAGCCCTTGGTGTTGGCCACCTTGTTAACATTTACTGAAATTTAATTGCACCTTGTATAAAGAAGCACCTGGTATATATGTATAGTGTGTATATAGCATATATAGTGTACATAGAGTATATACTCATAACTCACCTTGATGAGGTACGCCATGATGCCCTTGGTGTTGGCCACCTTGTTCATACAATTGAGGTATTAACTGCACCTTGTATATCTAGTCTATGTTTCCATAGTGTAATTATACCTTAATGAGGTACGCCATGAAGCCCTTGGTGTTGGCCACCTTGTTGATACAATGAGACATCAACTGCACCTTGTATAAAGAAGCACCTAGTATAGTGTATATATTCATAACACACCTTAATGAGGTACGCCATGAAGCCCTTGGTGTTGGCCACCTTGTTCAGATCGTTGGCTGCAAACCCCACCACCTTGCCTGTCGCATCAGCAAACACACACGGCACACATGGAAACAACAGGAACAAGATTTGATATGTTACTAAAACTACCCATGGCACGCAGGATAACACAGAAACAAGGAAAACAGAAGAGAAAGAAAGAAAGGGATAGAGAGGTAGATTCATGCAGCAGCAGCAGAAGCAGCAGCAGCAGCAGCAGCAGCAGAAGCAGCAGCAGCAGCAGAAGCAGCAGCAGCAGCAGAAGCAGCAGCAGCAGCAGCAGCAGCTCCTTCTCTGCAACGTGCTGGCCTTTTGCACCCAATCGTTCCTCCATCATACAATACGGCACTGTACCAACGAAACATTGAGGCAGTTTTTTTGGCGACTTTTGAGGCGCCTCAAAAGTCTACTTGGCACCGTACTGGCCTTTTGCACCCAGTCGTTCCTCCATCATACATAAGGTACCACCCAAACATCGACTTTTGAGTTGAGTCAGAAGCGCAGAATACCAGCTCCCTGCACCCAAAAGATCATCATGATACTGTAGATACAATGTGATACAATATGATACTGTTACCACCCAACACTATCAATATGGTACAATATGATAACACCACCCAGATTTCAGTCGAATACCACCCATTGCTCACCCTTCTTGGTGCCCTCATTAAGTTTGTTGCCAATATCTCGCACCACCAGCAGCACATGCTGCAGCTTCTGAGACTCTTGTATCTGCGAGATTTAGGGGCGACAAACACAGAGAGAAGAAGCAAAGGGGGGTGAATTGCACGAGAAAGGGGGACGGAGCAGGGGGCGGGGGAGGGGGGTGGGGGTGTAGGTGGGGGAGGGGGGGAAGAGCAACAGGAGTGGCTGGTGGGTTTGAGAAAGCATGAGTATATATCGTACATATCGTATATACAGGCGTTTTTAGGTGTAAGGCAGGGATGGGGCAAGGGGGAAGGAAGTGAATTTGATGGGAAATGAAAGACGAAGTGCCCACCTTTTGTGAGACAAGAGTAACGAACTTGATCGTGTCTGCAAGCTCTGGTGCCTGGTGGATGTGAGAGGGAGGTGGGGAGGGGGCGGAAGGGGGGGAGGAGACTTCTGAGTCGACTCAAAAGTCAACCTTTTGTGAGACGAGGGTGACGAACTTGAACGTGTCTGCAAGCTCTGGTGCCTGGTGGGTGGGATGGAGGGGTGGGGGAGGGAAGATGCAGGGAATTATGGAAGCAGGAATGGAAGGATCAATCAAGCATGATGGATATTCCGGCTTTTGTGAGACGAGGGTGACGAACTTGATTGTGAATGCAAGCTCTGGTGCCTGGTGAGATGTGGAGAGGGAGGCGGGGAGGGGGCGGAAGGGGGGGAGGAGACTTCTGAGTCGACTCAAAAGTCAACCTTTTGTGAGACGAGGGTGACGAACTTGAACGTGTCTGCAAGCTCTGGTGCCTGGTGAGATGTGGAGAGGGAGGCAGGGGAGGGAAGATGCAGGGGATTGTGAGAAGCAGGAATGGGAGTAGTGTTTTGAGTCGGCTCAAAACACACCAGGAATGGGAGGATCAATCTCCTGCTTCTCACTTTCCTCCCATGAAGTGAGGGTGTTTTTGAGACGTCTCAAAAATCAATCTCCTGCTTCTCACTTTCCTCCCGGAATGGAAGATTCTGACAATCACCCGCTCTGACAGGAAGATTCTGTACTAACAGCAGCACCTTGAGCTTCGGCTCCTGCCGCTGCACCTCCAGCAGCATTCATGCACCCGCACCCGCTTGTACAAACAAACACCCACCATAACTCACCCGCTCAGCCAGGAATATCCTGTACTGCAACACCTTGAGCTGGGGCTCCAGTCTCCGTACCCCCAGCAGCACTCAAGAGACTCTATCCAGCTCTAAACTCAGTGCAAAGCTTCTTACCCTACACCCTACACCCACTCACTCCCCTTCCACCCACTCACCCGCTCTGCCAGGAATATCTGGTACTGCAGCACCTTGAGCTTCGGCTCCAGCCGCTGCACCGGTTCAGCCGACCTAACCCATGTCCACACAAACACCCACACGCCTACCGATTCTCTCGCCTCCACTCCACTCACCCGCTCTGCCAGGAATATCCGGTACTGCAGCACCTTGAGCTTTGGCTCCAGCCGCTGCACCCCCAGCAATGCGCGGAACAGCTGCAGGTGGAGAGAGGGGGAAGACGAGGGAAAAGGGGGGGAGTGAGAAAACTCTGTACTGCAGCACCTTGAGCTTTGGCTCCAGCCGCTGCACCCCCAGCAATGCGCGGAACAACTGCAAAGAGGGGTGGGGGGATGGGGGGTAAGGGGGGGTGGGGGGATGTGGGGATGTGGGGAGAGGAGGGGAGAGGGGGAAGGAGTTGTTGAGATGGGGGGGATGGAGAGAGGTTCAAAAATGAGGAAATGGGGGAAGAGGGAGACAATTGGGGATGAGGGGAAAGTTTAGGGATGTGCTTGATGAGGGAAAGATGGGAGATTTCTGTGCAATCGCTGCATTCTCTTAGCGGCACATGAAGCAGCTGCAGGGAAAGAAGGAGAATCAATCAAACCATTCTCTCTACCTCCTTCCCCCCTTCCTCAGTACCTACCTTCCTCAGAACCCACCTTTCTCGGAATCTCATGTGCTCGCACCTATCTCTCTCACTACCAACCTTCCCCAGCACACACCTGTTCGCACGGACCCAAATCCTCCACATTCCCCTTAAACTCCTGCCAAAGGAAGTGGGGCGAGGAAAGGGGGGAGGAGGGGGGAAATGGGCGGAGGGAGGAAGGCGGAAGTGGAGGGAGGGGCGTGTTACACACATGCGCACACTGAATCTCATACCACCCTCAGCAGCCGCTTCTCCTTGTCATCAGGGCCACACTTCAACAGAGTTTCCAACAGGCTGTCCCACCACTATGCTACCCACACGTCCACACATGCACGCACACACATGCATGCATGCACCCTATAGACCTAAACCAGGTGTTTCTCACCCTCAGCAGCCGCTTCTCCTTGTCGTCTGGGCCGTACTTGAGCAGAGACCCCACCAGGCTGTAACACCACTCGCACCACACATGCGCCCATGCACGTGCGCCCTAGACACATGCACACAGTAGGTCTCATCTCATCTCACCCTCAGCAGCCGCTTCTCCTTGTCGTCAGGGCCGTACTTGAGCAGAGTCTACACCAGGCTGTCACACCACTCGCACCACACATGCGCCCTACATACATGCATGTGCCCCATGCACATACACCCCCTCCCTCCTACTACACACACGTGCACACTAGGTCACATGCGTCTCACCCTCAGCAGCCGCTTCTCCTTGTCGTATGGATCATATTTCAACAGAGTCTCCACCAGGCTGCTGCACCACTCGCACCATTTGCCACACACGTGCACCCACTGGAACGTGTATCTGCCACCCCCCTATGCTATCCTATACAATACACCTCCACATAAGTGACTCACCCGCAGCAGCCGCTTCTCTTTGTCATCCGGGCCGTACTTGAGCAGAGTCTCCACCAGGCTGTCACACCACAAGCCACACACATACATCCACCAAACACCACCCTGCACCGCACGCACACACGCATCTCACCCGCAGCAGCCGCTTCTCCTTGTCATCCGGTCCATACTTCAACAATGTTTCCACCAGGCTGTCACACCACTCGCCTATTGTCGACGTGTCGACACTCAACACTGCAACCTGGTGGCATGAGAAGGGCAGGAGAGAGCAAGAGGGAGAGAGAGAGGGGAAAGCAGGGGTTGACGGAAAAAGAGTCTCCAGCAGGCTGTCGTAGGGATGAGCAATATGACGAACTCCTGTTCGGTTCGCCTCGAACACGTTCGAGGCGAACCGAACAGGATTTTTTTTGGCCAAAATTGTTCGGGGCGAACGTGTTCGGTGTTCGCCCGAACACGTTCGCCGTTCGCCCGGCTCAGCTCGCCGAGGCGCGTCGAACACGAACGTGTTCGTGTTCGACACGTGCCTTCGACAAACACCAATGTGTTCGTCGACGAATAGGCCCGCGACCAATTTTTAGGTCGCGGGCCTTGGTGTTTGGGCTCAGATCTGGCCTTTCACAGTTAGAAAAAAGTGCAGATCTAGCATTTCGCCATTGCTTAAGTGCAGATCAAGCATTTCGCCGTTGCTTAAGTGCGGATCGAGCATTTCGCCGTTGTTTAAGTGCGGATCGAGCATTTCGCCGTTGCTTAAGTGTGGATCGAGCATTTCACCGTTGCTTAAGTGCGGATCTAGCATTTCGCCGTTGCTTAAGTGCGGATCAAGCATTTCGCCGTTGCTTAAGTGCAGATCTAGCATTTCGCCGTTGCTTAAGTGCGGATCTAGCATTTCGCCATTGCACGCTGGCACTAGATGGATGAAGCAGGGCGGGACTGGCTTGGGAGGTGGGGGGAGAGAATGTGCGACGATTTGAATTTTACTCTATATTGAATTTCCCCCTGGGCGAACACGAACATGTTCGCCACGAACATGTTCGTGTTCGCCTGTTGCAGCAATTCGTTCGCCTCCTAGGGCGAACGGCGAACACCTATTTTCACTCAAGTCGTTCGCCGAACCGAACACTGTTCGGTTCGGCAGAAGGCCATGTTCGTCAGGGGGCGAACACGAACATGTTCGAGTTCGCCCCCTGCTCATGCCTAGGCTGTCGCACCACTCGCCTATTGTCGACGTGTCTACACTCAACACCGCAACCTGAGTAGTGAAGAGAACAGGAAAGGGGGAGAGGTGGGAGGGGGAGGAGGTGGGAGGGGGAGGAGGTGGGAGGGGGAGGAGGTGGCTGGAATGATGACATGTGAACGAGTTGGGGACGTCTTAAACGACCTTTTGAGGCGACTTTTGAGGTGACCTTTGAGGCGACTAAAAAGACATGCGAACGAGTTGGTGTTGGGGACTTCTTGAACGGGGTAAGGGGCAATGAATACCCTTTCCTATTAGCCAGCCTAACACCACTGGCTAAAAACAGCAACTGAATTGATGCCAAAATAGTAAAAGGGAGGAAGCTTTACTAATGACTCAAAGGAGGTAAGAGGCGAGAGAAGGGAGAAGAGAGGAGAGGGGCAGAGCGGAAGAGTGGCATACCACGAGGTCGTGCGGATGGAGCTTCATGCTTCGAAGAGAGAGAGCAGGGAGCAGAGGGGCAGAGAGGCGAGAGAAGGGAGAAGAGAGGAGAGGGGCAGAGCGGAAGAGCGGCATACCACGAGGTCGTGCGGATGGAGCTTCATGCTTCGAAGGGAGATCTCCACGTTCCTCGACTTGGCCATGTCGATCTGTATAGTTGGGGGTGGGGGGTTGGGGAGAGGGGGATGGAATGCGTCATCTTTGTCCCAACGAGCTTCATGCTTCAAAGGGAGATCTCCACGTTCCTCGACTTGGCCATGTTGATCTGAGAGTGCGCGGGGGTGGGGAGGGGGGCGAAGAAAACGTAACGGTTCGGAGGGGAGGATGGATGAGGCATCTTTGTTTATCCCAACCAGTTGGGTATAGATGGTTTGGAACCGCTGCCAGCTTCCTGCTGCGAAGAGAGATCTCCACGTTCCTTGACTTGGCCGTGTCGATCTGTACGGTTGGCAGGGGCGTGGGGAATGAATGAGGACGGGATGAGGCATCTTGGACAGCCAGATGAAATGGATGAGGATTCATGCTGCCAAGGAGAGAGATCTCAACCGTTGAGATCTCTCGGCCATGTCGATCTGACCTGAGTGTACAGAGGGGGGAAGAGAGGGGGAGTAAGGTGGGGGTTGGGGGGGAAAGGGGAGGGGAGGATGGATGAGGCATCTTGATTCTTCACAGGCTGCTCCGCTGCTGCAGAGAACCCTGCCCTACTGGCGCACTGTTAGTTGGCGCCACCTGGCACCACTTGGTACTCACAATGCGGATGACTTGCTTCTTCACAGGCTGCTCTGCCTGCTTGAGAGGAGCCGCAGCCTTTGGTCTAACTGCTTAGAACCACTTGGTACCTTTTCATACCACTTGGTACGACTTGGAACCACTTGATACCTCTTGGAACCACTTGGTACTCACAATGCGGATGACTTGCTTCTTCACAGGCTGCTCTGCCTTCTTGAAAGGAGCCGCCGCCTTGGGCTCAAACCAAGCTCCATGGTACCACTTGTTACCACTTGGCACCACTTGGTACTCACAATTCGAATGACTTGTTTCTTCACCGGCTGCTCCACCTTCTTAAAAGGAGCCGCTGCCTTGGGCTCAAACCATTTGCATGGTACCCCTTGTTACCACTTGGCACCACTTGGCACCACTTGGTACTTACAATTCGAATGACTTGTTTCTTCACAGGCTGCTCTGCCTTCTTGAAAGGAGCAGCTGCCTTGGGCTCAAACTGCTTCTTCAACTCGCCAATATCGATATCAAAGTCAAGCTCTCTGGTTGGGAAGGATGGAAAGGGGAGAAGGGGAAGGGAAGGAGGACTAATGATGGAGAAGAGAGGAATACAGAATGGGTGAAGGGCATTGCCTTGAGCTGAGACCGCTTCTTCAGCTCGCCAATATCGATGTCAAAGTCAAGCTCTCTGGTGGAGAAGGATGGAAAGGGGAGGGGGGGGGGGGGGGGGGGGGGGGGGGGGGAAAGGGAAGGACGAGCATTGACAACGGGAAAGAGGGGGTGGAGAAGGGGTAAGGAAGGAAGGAGCCGTCACCTTGGGCTCAAACTGCTTCTTCAACTCCCCAATATCGACATCAAAGTCAAGCTCTCTGGTTGGGTATGGGAGAGCAGGATAGGGGAAGCGGGGACGGGTACAGGCAGAAAAGAGGGGAGGAGAAGGGTAATGAAGCATTTGGTTAGGCTCAAACAGCCCTCTCGGGTCGCCATTATGGCTTTATTTGCAATCGACACGACCCCCCCACCCCAACGCCCGGATCCCCCCAAACACCCCCCCTGCTCCAAACCAACCCCAGATTAGAAGCATTACTGAAGGAAGAAACAACAACTCACGAAGCCCAGATGGTGCCATTTCTATTCGTCACACACCCCCAGTCCACCAGTGCCTGTTTCCTCCCAACCAAATAGCCCTCGCTCCAACTTTCCCAAATCAGAAGCATTACTTAAACAGGAAATAACTCACGAGGCCCAGATGGTGCCATCCGCCTCTGTCACGGACCCTCAATCCACCAGTGCGCGCTTCCCCCCCCACATCCCCCATCCCAACCAAACCTAGCCCAAATTAGAAGCATTACCAAAAGAAGAAAACAACTCACGAGGCCCAGATGGTGCCATCCGCATTGGTAACGACCCCCCAGTCCACCAGCGCCCGCTTCCCCCCAAACGGTCCCGGTTCCACACCTTTCCCAAACTAGAAACGTTACTAAAAGAAGGAAACAACTCACGAGGCCCAGATGGTGCCATCCGCGTTTGTCACGCCCCCCCAGTCCACCAGCGCGCGCCTCCCCCCCCCAAACGGTCCCCCAGGAGGCGGACCCTTCCCCTTGAACCCAGGCGGGAGCGGAGGGGGAGCTTCGCCCTTGCCCCCTGGGGGGGGCGGGGGAGGGGGAGGCCCCGGCCCCTTAGCGCCTGGGGGAGGCGGGGGGGGAGGGGGGCCCTTCCGCCCAGGGGGAGGGGGAGGCGGAGGGGGGCCTTTGGAGCCTGATGGCGGGGGCGGGGGAGGGGGACCCTTGGCGCCCGGGGGAAGGGGAGGGGGAGGGGGGGGCGGAGGACCTTTGCCCCCAGGGGGTGGCGGGGGCGGGGGAGGGGGAGCAGGAGGAGCTTTCAAATTACCACCACTAAGTGACGAGCTAAGGGGGGGGGTCTTGGGGCGGGCCTTACCCCCCGCTCCCCCTGCTTCTTTCTCCCCACTCTCCTCCCCAAACCCTCCTCCTATCGTCTCTGCAGCCGCTTTCAACCCCTCCCAACCGACTCCCTCAGCCTTGGATACCCCAATACCCCTTCTGGCGTCTTTCACCTGTGTCCCATAACTCACAATCGCACCCTCCTCATCATCCTCACTCTCTCCCCCCTCCCCATCCTTCCCCTTTTTCGCCTTATCATCCTTTGCTTTCTTCACCCATTTCTTTGCCACGCCTGCAACCTTACTCAAATCCTCCTCCCCCTCCAAACTTTTGTTAACCTCTGGTAAACCAGGGGGTTTCGTCGGGGTCAGAGAATCATTTTCCAAGCTGCCCGGGTCATTGGACGAACCCTCTCGAGCAAGTCTCGCTTTTCCCAGTGCAATAAACGAGCCGTCATCCTCGTCTTCCCAGCCTCTACGGCTTGGGGCATTTTTTGCTCTGCCCAGAGCAGCAAACGAGCTATTTTCACCTGCCCCATTGTCCCTCCCATCACCACCACTCAACTCATTCCCATCCCCTTCCCCGCCATACGAAGCACCGGACCTAGCTTTACGAATTGCCGCTGCTGCCACCGCCCTACTCCCCCCGTACCCTCTCCTGCCCTTTACCCGCCCTTCCTCCCTCCCCCCTCGCTCTCCCCTAGCCCGCTCCCCCAATTCTTTAAAGCTCTTACGCTCTTTCTCAGGCCCCTCCTCCCCCTCGTCTCCCTCCTCCCCCTCTTCCCCTCCCCCCCCCATGTTCCCCCTCTTCCCCCCTTCTTCCCCGCCTTCCTCCCCTCGCTACCCTTCCCCCACCCCCTTCTCCCCCTTCCGCCCCCTCCCCTTCTTCCACCCCCGCCTTTCTCCCCGCCTTTTCCCGCCTCTTCCTCTCCCCCAAGCTTCCAAACTTCCGCTCAACCTGCTCCTCCCCCTCCCCTCCCCCGCCCGCCTTTCCTCCTTTCCCCTTCCTCCTCACGCCCCCCATGCCCCTCCCATCCTCACTCCCACTCTCCTCCCCCCAAAAGTCCATCTTCTTCGTCTCCTCCTTCACCTTCCTTACAAGCACCTTCTTTTTATTCTGCTTTCGTTTAGAGCCTCTGGGTGCCAGCCCTTCCAGTAGATGCAACCCCACTATCCCTTCCGACTGCCTCATAAACACCTCCCATTCAGTCTTAAACGCCTCTTTTCCGGACCCCTTCCCTTCCGCCTCCCTCCCCGCTGCTGCTCCCCCTGCTCCCCCTGCCCCGCCCACCGATGCTATTGCAGCAGCCGCGAGAATCCCGTGCTCGTTACTAGCAAACGACGGGTGCACCCCCGACGCTAGCGCATGCGGAGGCGTGTTCGGCGCGAACCTGGTAACCCTATTCGCGGACGAAGTAGACGAAGGCGTGGAAGCAGCGCTGATACTCGTGATCCAGTCAAATCCCGACGCGGGCCCTAAAACCTCCTCGAAATTCACCTCCAATTCCGAATCCGCGTGGCTACTAAGGTCATCATCATCATCATTTTCATATGACCTATAAGTGCTTCTGCTGCGCACGCTGCCTGCCTCGCTGCCATTGTCGTTGAAGCTGCTAGAGGGGGTGCTAGCGCCGCTGCTCACGGGGGTTAGAGTCCTGCTTCCTTTTCCGCCTAGTTTTCCGCTTCTCCCTGCGCCTCCGCCCTCGTCTCCCCGCCTCCTCCCCCCCTTCTCACCCGCGGATGAAACGGACGCGGAGGCCTTCCCCCGCCTGTCTATGTCCGCGAGCGTTCCGCCGCCCCCGTCTTCCCCCATCTCGCCTCCCCCTTCCGCCCTGCTTCCCGCTCCGGACACTGACGCGGCGGTTGCGAGGCGCCGCGGTTTGCGCACGTGCGTGTGCCCGTGCACGTACCCGGGGGTTGGTCCTCCTTTGTGCGAACCTGTACCTGGGCTCGCTGCTTCTGCGGGCGGCGCGCGCGAGGTTGACGCGATCGATCGCGTCAGCCTTGGTCGCGGCCCTTGCGACGCGTGCGACGACGCATGCGACACGTGCGACGAGGAGGTGTTCACGGCGGCGGATTTGGGTCGCGCGTCCGCCGCCGGCAGGTCGTCGTCGGTCCATTTCTTCGACTTGGAGAGGGTGGCGAGGAACCCTAGCTGCGAAACGGGCGAAACCGGGAAGTTTTGTAACAGAAAATGACAACACGGACACGCCAACAGATCAGAATATGATACGCCTTAACGAACTAGTAACCAGTATTATCGCGTTAGTCCTTAACGCGTACAGAAGTACATCGTGAGCGGTACCTACTGAAGTTCAGCATGCTAGAGATGCAATTGGGAAATCCCAACCCTAAGAACATGCATCGGTTTCCCCTATACCGGGATCGAAGTGTACCTGTAGCGGAGCCTCGTTGGAGTCACCGAAAGTGGGAGCTGGCTCGCCTGTCGACGGCCGATCGACGGGGGAGAAAAAAAGCTAGGCTGGGGGAGTTTCAGGCAACCCTAAAGGCATGTATCGGGAAACTCTATACTGGGATCGAAGTGTACCTGTAGCGGAGCCTCGCCGGAGTCGCCGGGAGAGGGGGTTGGCTCGCCCGTTGACGGCCGTTCGACGGGAGAAGAGGACGCGTCCTTCGCATTGCCGCTTCGAGATGGCCGAGGGCGGTACGGAGATTTTTGTGCCGTCGAGTCATTCGCCACATCGAGAGGACTCGGGGAGGCCTTCGCGTTGCCGCTTCGAGATGGCCGCGGCCGGTACGGAGATTTTTCCGTCGAATCATTCGGCACCTCGAGAGGAGTCGGTGCGTTCGCCTTGCCACTTCGAGACGGCCGAGGGCGGTACGGAGATTTCTGAGTCGCCTCAGTTGCCCCGTCAGGAGCAGACGGGGAGGCGCTAGCATTAAGTTCTCGAGATTTCCGAGAGCGGTATGGAGACTTTTGCGTCGAATCATTCGTCATCTCGAGAGGAGACGGGGGGTTGGCATTGGGTTCTCGAGATTTCCGAGGGCGGTACGGGGACTTTTGAGTCCCCTCAGCCGAAAGATCCGGAACAGACGGGGACGCGTTGGCATTGACACCTCGAGACTGCCGAGTGCGGTACGGAGACTTATGAGTCGTCTCATTCGTCACCTCGAGAGGAGGCGGTGCGTTAGCATTGACACCTCGAGATTGCCGAGGGCGGTACGGAGACGTGGGACCGGGACGCTCCATCCTACAACTGCGGCGGCCTTTACGGCCCCCAGACTGTCCCTTCGCTGCTACTAAGCTCCTACTGGCCTTCAAGAAAGCACCCTAACTTGACGATGAACTAGTGCTGATTCACCTATACCTGCGACTCCGCCTACTGTCGCCTAGACCTGAGTATTCGCGCACTCCGCAGCCTAACTCACTAAAGAAAAGCCATAACCACGATCTGATCTTCTGAGGCGTCTCAGACGAACTAACGTTTTCCGCGGCGGCCTGAACTCGCTGACGCGCCGGCTGATAAAAGACGTGTTTTGGGACGTCTCAAGACGTCCCTGTGGGTGTGGTTCTTATGTCCAGAAAAGACGCCTGCTTGGATCCGTAACCTAAGGAAAGCTATCATGATGCCTTGGTTCTTGTGTCCAAATAGAAGCGCCTACTTGGCTTAACCGTAAGAAAGAAATCATGACGGCGTGGTTCGTGCCGCCTGAAAGCGTTTCCGCATTGCGGTTCAGGGCGACCGTGCATCATGACACCATCGCATTAGCCGAAACGAGCCCCCTAGTGGCGCACTGCCTTTTCGTGCAGTGCCTGAGTTGCGTTGCAGCAGCAGGCTAACTGCACTCCTGTCGAAACTCTTAATCGGTATTCCACCTGAAAGTTTTGCTTCGTCTCTGCTCTACTACTAGTACTAGTTAGTGTCGGCAGGGCCTGAATAATGAAGCGCTGACGGCGGAGTTATCGGAGTTACCTAGGAGATAGGCGGACTGTACTTGCCTGCCATTGTGGTAATTTCAATAGAACGGGTCTGATCTGCTTTGGTGCTGAGGTCAGGGCACAGAAAGTACTGAAGCGCGAATGACCGCTTTGCAACGAGTGGAAACATTTGGAACCGCTACGAATGTTTTGCAATGGTACTGTAAAGGGAAGTTCTAAAAGACGTGAGTGGCTAATGACGCAATAAAGCACATACCGGTATTACGTATCTGAAATTTTCTATCCATATACTCGGTATGCATGAATATCATTGTTCTCAACATTGAAAAAAAAACTTTGATCTCATCCTGGGTTTACTCAAAAAACATCCTCTTTGGAATACACAAAATGCAACCAGGTTCGAGGCAGCAAATTCTACAATGAAAAGCGAACTCCTCATCCTCTCTTGCCTGCTGAAAACACCTTAAAGCACTTGTACCCCTCACAGCTTCGCACAAACGGAATGCAAATCTGGCCGTTGGGGCAAACCTTCCTCAACACGCAGGGACGCTCATTCTTGACAGGTCGCGCCTTCTTGTTAGGATGCTCCTTGTTATTGTCACACACCCACGGGCATATGAGCCTCTTCTTAACGACGCAGCCGGGGGGTGCAGGAGGGGATGTGCCGCCAGAAGGAGTAGGGGCAGAAGGGGGAATAGTGGAAGGAGCGGAAGGAGGGGGGGTAGAGGGAGGAGTCAGAGAAGGGGGGGTAAAGGAAGGAGGGGGAGGAGGGGAAGGAGGGGGAGGAGAGGGAGGAGTGGAAGGAGGGGGAGGAGGGGAAGGAGGGGGAGGAGGGGAAGGAGGGGGAGAAGGGGGAGGAGGGGAAGGAGGGGGAGAAGGGGGAGGAGGGGAAGGAGGGGGAGGGGAGGGAGGAGGGGGAGAAGGGGGAGGAGGGGAAGGAGGGGGAGAAGGGGGAGGAGGGGAAGGAGGGGGAGAAGGGGGAGGAGGGGAAGGAGGGGGAGGAGAGGGAGGAGGGGGAGAAGGGGGAGGAGGGGAAGGAGGGGGAGAAGGGGGAGGAGGGGAAGGAGGGGGAGAAGGGGGAGGAGGGGAAGGAGGGGGAGGGGAGGGAGGAGGGGGAGAAGGGGGAGGAGGGGAAGGAGGGGGAGGGGAGGGAGGAGGGGGAGAAGGGGAAGCGATAACCGCACCTATAAGATGAAAAGTGAAAACACGAGGAGGGTAATAGTACGAGGAGGGGAAACAACTTGTTTAGATAAAGAGGAGGACGGTATCAGAAGCAGATGGAGATACGAAATGCAAATAGGCATTGAGTTGGGAAAGGAGTGGGAGAGCGGACAGGAAGCGATTCCTCACTAGTCACATCCACAGCTACACGAGAAGGGTAAATACGAGGAGGTTACTACGAGAGGGGTAAACAACCTGTTTAGATAGTACACACGATGAGGGATAAAGGACCGCTTTTAAAACGGATGTGAATACGACTGCAGGGACCACTAAGAGATGATATGGAAAGGAGCGGCAGGGGGAGAGGCTCATACAGGAGAGGCCAGAAAGGAGAGACTCTCATTGGAGGGAGAAAAAAGGAGGTGGTGTGCTAGATAGATTCCATTATCAAACAGGCGATAGTAGTCTTAAAACTCTTACAACTCTTGCACAATGATGGTCCGCCGCCCGACCCTTGATGATGATATCTAGGAACCTGGGAAAGTAGCACAGCACGAGTTGTGTGATACATCAAGGCGTCACTCACATGGCGCGATACAGACAAGAAGAAGACTAACGGCAGCGAGACGCATTATGCCCTTTGTAGCTGTACAAGCCATTTTGCCTCCGACTCCGACGGCTAGTAGCGGCGAACCGGCAGCAATCTCGCCGCGATCTCGCGGCGTGACTCGTGTCTCGACTATCTTTCAGGCTGGAGCGGCAGATCGCGCGAACGATCATTCAGGCTGAAAGCGGCAGATCGCGCGACGTGTGTACGCCGCGGGTACGCGGCTCGTAGTCCTTCGCTTTGCGAGTAGAATGGCGTGGCAAGTGGCGTCACGGTGACAAAAGGAGAGGATCTGAAGTGCACAACTACTGGCTGGCAGCACAAAGTTTTACTCAAACTACTAGGGGTACTACTAGACCCGGATTGCTACTCCTATGTAGAAACCCTTGCAACTGTGGAGTTTAAATAGCGTGCACCATCATGATGGCAGCGCAAGTCTGGAGCAGCGCAAAGCCGTTGCGGAGCAGCGCAAGCCTTGCGGAGCAGCGCAAGGCCTTGCGGTGCCGCGCAAAGCCTTGCGGAGCAGCGCAAAGCCTTGCGGAGCAGCGCAAAGCCTTGCAGAGCGGCGCAGCTTGCGCCGCAACAAGCTTGAAGCTTTGCGGCAGCACCACGGGCAGCACCATGGTGGACTCCACCTCCGCAAGGCTTTGCGCCGTCTGCATGATGGTGCTGCCCACGGACAGCAATATTTTTGCACTGGGTGCCAGGTGGTCACTTCGCGAGTAGCGCAAGCCTTTGCAGAGCAGCGCAAAGCCTTGCGGCGGAGCAGCACCACCGTGGTGCCAGGTGGTGACTCTGCAGTGGCCGGCGAATGAAAACGAGACACCGATCTGTACGAAAACGCATCTGCAAGCATATCCGTTGCATCGCGAGCATTATTCGTGAATCCGTCTCTTTCAAGCTGTCGGTTCAAACCATCTTCAGGAGGGATAGTACTGCCACTAGACCGTAGACCGTATACTATAGTGTCGGCACCTGCGCGTGAAATTCATCTTTTCGTTTCAGACGAGGAGACCATATGACAGCAAGCACTGCTTGAAATCCATCCGACGATCTGACTCGCACGTGTGATGCGTGGTTCCCGACAACATGTGGTTGCGTGGGGAGCAGCACTGCTCAAAGCTGCAGAATAAGAAAAACTACTCTCCCATCTCCTTTCGCTTCCTCTCCCCTCACAGATCCAGAAGTGGCCTAGTTAGTAGAAAGAGGCACTTCCGATAGATGAGGTCATGGAATCGAACCCACCCCCGTGCAGGCGTGTTCTGCAAGCCCCAAGTAGGGGTTAGCACGTGCTCATCTAGGAATGGATACCCCTAAAACTGGTTACGACCAGAAATATAACTTGAATTCTTAATTTCCCTCCCCTCGCAGACTAGATCAACTATCTGGGTGTTTACAAGGTCGCACTCCTGCTCGTTTCGAACGTGCCAGGTAGTGACTGCAGCGGCCGGCGAATGAAAACGAGACACCGACCTGTACGAAAACGCATCTCGTTGCATCACGAGTATTATTCGTGAATCCGTCTCTTCAAGCTGTCGGTTCAAACCATCTTCACTACAGTATACCGTAGACCGTATACTGTAGTATCGGCACCTGCGCGTGAAATTAAGGGCGCATCACCTCGGGGCTGGAAGGCCCAAATCCGAACATACGTAACGAATTCACCGTACGAACAGTTTCCCGACGAGATCCGAACACAAATTTGAAAACCTTGGTGAATGTGACAGCTCGTGACTAGAGGTGACAGCCTGTTCGAACATGCGACGTCGCCAAGTGCTGGACGACTTCGCGAAACGTCGCAAAAAAATAATTCTGTCGTCTGCCATTCAAGTTTGACTCATTTTTCGCCCATCCAGTCAAACAGTCTCTTCGTGCTCTTCTACTACTGCTCACCTTGTTGTTTCCCAACAACAATGTCCTTATCGATGAACTTTCTCCTGCATGGCGACATTTGCAATGGTCGCAAACATTCGTGTGCGACCCGAAGCCTGCTAACCAATAAAATCAGTCGTCCATGCGGAATTCCTGTCACCAAACCCAACTTTGTTCGAACAACTCTGTTCGAACGTGCGGAATGGAGAGCTTCGTGCCCCGTGTGACAACTCTGTTTCAAATTCGCGAAATTTCCGACAAGCGACGTCACGAATACCCATACGAGGAGTGGCGAATAATGTAACATTTCGCCTGTTCGAACAACCGTGCTGTTCGAACTGAGAGGTGAAGCGCCCTAATCTTTTCGTTTTAGACGAGGAGACCATATGACAGCAAGCACTGCTTGAAATCCATCCGACGATCTGACTCGCACGTGTGATGCGTGGTTCCCGACAACATGTGGTTGCGTGGGAGCACATCGCGAAAAAGGGTTTGGCCAATTTTCGAGTTAAAGTCTCAGAGTTGCAGGAAAGTTGCACAAAAGCTGCAGAAAAGTATCCGAAAAACAACAACCCGAAATTGCATCTACCCAAAATGCCACTAAGGCACACTGAGAAAGGCAGCCGGATGCCAGGCGGTTTGCGCTTCGGAACGTCCAACTTCCAGAGCGGCTCAAGAAATCTCGCACATTGGCAGACGCGGTTCGACGAAAAAGCACACCTTGGCACCGCATACAAGGAACACTCGCTTGTGTTTTGCGTTATGTGTTTGTACACTGCCGCGAGAACGATCCCCTTAGGGTTTGCAGCCTATCCCCAAACTACTAAACGCTAACCGACAAAGCAACACACATGATACAGAAGAGCAGTCGTTATTGAGTAGCAAACACAACACATGGAAATAATATCGCCCAATTCACAGCTCATGCAATGCGTACACACACATTAGCCGAAACATTGTGACGCCACCGTCGCATAGTGCTCCCTATGTTCAGCCCCACCATACCACAATGATAAAGCATAGCCACCCTATAGCCCTAGACCGAGCGTACGACGCGTTCTTTGTCATCCTCCACTGGGAACATCACCCCCGCCTTCTTGGATTGGCCTGCCTCATCCGACGCGTCAGACGTGATCCCCTCATCACTAGAGCGGCCCGTCCGTTTGCGCTAAGTGGGCGTGCGTCGAAGGCGGCTCACCACCTCCTTATTCACCACTCCGGCCTCCTCTGGCACGTCGCGCGGTGGAATACCCAATGCCTCCGCCTGCTTCACGAAACCATCATGGACCATGCGGCTCACGCGGCGACAGCTACGGTTGTCTCGCATTAGCGGCCCCTCTGGAATGCAAAAATATGCCGGAATCTCATCCTCGGACTCGTCCTCCAAACCCCTCGGTGGCGCCCACTTCTCAATAAGGCCTTCGTCACACCCCACGAAATCCCACGCCGTCATAAACGCCGTGCTGCTGCACTTGTCTTTGAACTCTTCAATCACCAGCTGCAGACTCGTCAACTGCAGCACCAGACCGTCAAACATCCCTGCCGCAGCTTTCCCTTTCAAGCTGTCCATTCGCGACAGCCATCCCTTCGGCACGCTACCGACCCGCCACCAACTCCTCTGGATTGTCCCCGGCATCGTCAACTTGCACGCCATGAACAGCTTGTAAAGGACATCGTGCAGCGGCGGCCGTGGAAAAATGCCCGCACGGGTCCACTCCGTGCTCGTGACAGCCGTTCGCAGAAACCACGATCGGAAAACTGCCTTCAATGTGTCCACAACACCATTTATCGCAGAAAACGCAGCAGCCGGCATCACGCCAAATGTCTGCACAACTTTCACCCGTGACAACTCCTCCATGACAAACCCCTCCACCGTCCTTGTCCATTTCACACACCCGGTGAGGGTGTGCGAAGGGTTGTGCATGAGGAAAGTAGAACGAGAATGAAATGAACTATGAATGAAGTGATACAAATATGCAACCCTAGCAATGTGTACCCCATATGGGCTACCCAACTATAGCCTACACAATGTTGTAATTTGACACACCCCCATAGGCAAAGTGGGGGAGAACAAGGGGTCACAAGACCAGTCAAGCAAAGCAAAGCAAAGCAAAGCTCAGGGTGGATCAGAACGTCACCACACAGTCCAAGCACAAGGTCAAGGCCAGAAGGCCAGTTCACATGCAGGAGTAGATATATAAGGCTAAACAAGCAAGAGCAGGTATATATATATAAGAGTACAAGCAAGGTCAAGAGGTGAGCAAGTGAGGCAAGACAGGTACAAGTCCCAGCTAAGTGCAGAAGCGCTGATGATCACAAGGCGCAAGTGCCTTGGTGAAAACATCAGCAGTGTTGGCCTCAGAGGCCACGTACGCAAGTCACAACTAACCACGCTGCTGCAGCTCACGAGCAAGAAAGTAGCGGAGAGCAATGTGCTTCGTTCTGTGCTCCAAGCGCTGCTCTCGACACAAGGCCAGCATGGCCTTGTTGTCTACGTACAGCACTATAGGAGAACGAGGCGGCTCTCCAAGGTCGGTCAGCAGGTCGGTGAGCCA